TTTAACTGTTACTGAAAACTATAAACAACTACTATGATCCAACAGTGAAAACCTGCCCACAGACCCTGGGGAAATGCTCAGTTGCCTATGGAGCAGACCGAATTCTGGGTGGTATCTCTCTCTCTCTCTCTCTCTCTGGTGCCAGGATCCTAGGCTCTAAAGCTCCTTGGGAGGGGCAGAGACCAACTCCAAGCAGGAAAAGGAAAGATGAGGAGAGAAAGTCAAGACCATACATCTTATTTATTTTTTAAAAAGATTTTATTTTTTGAGAGGGGGAAGGGAGGGAGAAAGAGAAGGAGAGAATCACTGATGTGTGAGAGATTCATTGATTGGTTGCTTCTCACATGCCCCCAGCCAGGAACCTGGCCCACAACCCAGGCATGTGACCGGACTGGGAATCGAACCAGCCACCTTTCGGTTCGCAGGCCGTCGCTCAATCCGCTGAGCCATACCAGCTAGAGCTTATTTATTTATTATTTTTTAAAATGCTTTTTTAAAAAAGGTTTTATTTATTTCTAGAGAGAGAAGGGAGGGAGAAAGAGAGGGAGAGAAACCTTACAACTGTTGTGAGAGAGAAACATCGATTGGTTGCCTCTTGCACCCGCTCCAAGTACGGACTGAACCTGCAATGCAGGTATGTGCCCTAACTTGGAATAAAACCAGTGACCCTTCACTTTGCAGGATGATGCCCAACTAACTAAGCCACACAAGTCAGGGCTCAAGACCATACACTTTAGAATTCTGGAGAATTAGGTGAAAGTCCCATGGGCCAAACATACCTGAGATGGTCTCTGAATGGCCTTTGTCTCCGTCCTAAGCCCCTATGGACTCCAGGGGTTTTCCTTGCTCTTAACAGGTATGATTAGTCTGTGTCTCCTTCTCTGCGGCATCCAAACTTCACTTCAGTGTCTCGTGAACAAAAAAGGGACTATGTAGCAAACTTGGGGACTCAGGGTACTGCCTGGCAGAACTGACAAGCCCAGTGACCAAAAGTAAGCACACAGGATGGTCTGATCATAAATCAGACCATCATAACGGGGCAAACCATGGTAGGTAGTCATGTCCAAGGCCACTCTTTACCTCAGCTGAGCTCTGTCCATTGTTCTTACACATCTAAGATATACTTTTGAAATGAGAAGAGTAATTTTTCTCTTTTTAGATCCCTCAAAGCACAAGCATGAGACCACAGAGCCTCTCATTGTTATCTTGTTCCTCACATACCATCTCTATGTGCTGTAAATGTTAAATGTTAACTACTCCTGTACCCACCAATGCAATAAAAGAAGTATGCGTTTCTCCACTTTTTAAAAAAAAATCTATTTCTACAGATTTCCCTGCTTTGCTTTCTCCCACGTTCCTAATCTACCACCAGTGGATTTCATGTAACCATCCTTCTTTTTCTCCTTTGATTCTAATGAATAAAAGAAGCTGCAAAACTGCCATTTCTGGAGCATTTTCTCCACTCTTTGATATCTTGTTTCTGGGCATGTCCTCAAAATGTGGCACCATAAAACTCAAATAAAACTTTTTCATATGCTAGACAGTCTTTTGTTGACAGTCTCAATGAATCATAAGCTGCTAGCTCTGACAGAGACCCTAGAGATTATCTAGCCCGATCTCTTCAATGTGGACGTTATGCATTAATAGCAGTTAATGGCAGAGCCACAGAATGTTTCCCTTTGTTTCAGCAGGTCATCTTAAACACTGATGTAAGTTATTTATCTTGATTGCAAAACCCAGAAAAGAACCTTACCCCTGTTGTGCGCATCCACTGAGAACCTCGGTCAAACCTCGTCTTTAATATTTACACCATCTGCCGTGCCCCCTTTTGTGGAGGCAGGTGGACGGGTAGGGGTTCGAGAGCAAAGAACTGAATTTCTCTAATGCTGGCAACAGAGACTGCAGTCGCCTGCCTGTCCTTCTGTTCTTTCACCCGGAACCCCCAGCATCTCTGCCATGTTCAAGGCCAGCAGCCATCCATTGCCAAGCTCCTTATTGGTCTGACCCATTGGCAGTAAGAACTAAGCTGATTCTTTCACCTGGTGGCTGCTTATCGGGGACACATGACATGCGGAGAACAGCTGGCCACGCAGAGGAGCCAAGGCTCTCCCTCTCTCAGCCCGAGCAGAGGAGGGGTGGAAGCACCGACATGCTAGGCCTGCTTCGGGATCTCATGCCCTTACTCTCCATTTGGGACAGCAAACATCTGGGCTCTGTGGCTGCCACGGGGCGATGAGCGGACAGGTGGGGAACACCTGCAGAAAGTGGAAGAAGTCACTGCTCGTCTGCCACGGACCTAAGGAGCCAGCCAGGCTCCCCACGTTGCTCACTCTCTACCAGGACCCTTGAGCCAAGTGTGCAGCCCATCTTGTGGGCTCCACCCCTGCCCTTCCCTCTACTTTTTAGGAACAAAACCCCCGGTTTGGAGAGCACTGTAGGTTCCCATAGCAATGGGCCCTTTTACTGTTTCCATGGCAACCAACACCCAGACCGTTTAGTTGCTAGTCAACTGACAGCTGTAAATGAATAGGACTCAGTCTAAAATTTGAGGGATGGGCCAGGGGATTCTCTTCACAGAAAAAGACACAACCATCCAAAATGACTCAACTCGCCTAAAGATTCTTTTAGGCAGCATCTGTGGAAATCCAGCGCCAACCTCAAATTCAGGTCACACAACACTGCCCATCCCATTCCCAACACATACCCCCCGCGCCCCCAAACCAAGCATGCCAGGACTTTAAATCCCCAAGCCCTACTTCACATTCTGTGTCCTTCCCAAAAGGCCCTTGGGAAAAACACTTGCTCCAGGTGACTACCGCCATGGTAACGTTTCTCACGCATAACCCTTTCATCTGCGTCAGCGCTCTTCCCGTGTCCCGCGACCCTGTCCTCACACCAACCCAGTGCCTTAAGCAGTCTTTGCTTTTTAGACTGTCTGATGGGAATGGCTATTTCCAGATCATCTTCCCTTAGCCTGAACCTCACCTGTGTCAAGCCACTCTTCCTACATCCGTGGGTGTTCTCAGGGAACAGATTGTTTTATCAACCTTTGCAGTAAGTATAATTAAGATGAACTTGTTTCTTTTCAGACGTCAACTAAGAGTTCAAAACCAAAGAGGACTGGAAATTACTCCATGCTTTTTTGATTTTTATTAGCCTAACCTGACTAAATGCCAGGCCTCCCACCTAGCCCTCTACCAAACTGGGGACACTTGGTATTGTGTCCCCTTTATTCTGTGAGCAGGGGTGCCTCTTTTTTTTTTTTAATGATTGGCGTCTGGAATTTATGCCAGAGAGATATGTCTAAGCCTCCATGGCTTAGTGGACTAGAAAAAATACGAGACTGTCATTGGAAAGAACGTGACCTTTTTTATACAGCCTAAGTGCAGTGCTTCTCAATGTTTTAATGACCTGGCGGGGGGCAGCACCTGTGAATGGCCTGTACAGAAAATGACCTTTCAAACTAACCCCCCCACAGGAGCCCTAGCCAGCTCACTGCTACAGGCTCCATGTAGCCTCCCATTGGGTGGTACAGTTATAAACTGTTGCATTACCCTTCTCCTCGAACTGAAGGGCACACGCTAGCTGAATTGCTTTTCTTCTGGCATTTCACATATGAGGGCAGGAGTGTGACGTGGATAGGTAGCCGTTAGCCTCAAAGGAGCTCAACGACAGGAGTCTTCTGGGAATAGCAAGAGAGCAGACACACATGAGAACTGAGCTTTTCCAGGCACCATCAAAAAGTTGTGTGCACAGAGGACAGCCTTGTTTTTCTGAGGCAACACACCACACATTGGATTGAATTTTGATTTTTTCTGATGTTTCTAGATGAACAATGTTTCTCCTAGAATAACTGCTAGCATTTACTGAGTCTGTGCCACATGCCTGGGGGAATTAGGCGCATGATCTCATTTAATCCTCATATCCCTACTGTTATCATCCCTATTTAACAGATAAGGAAACTGAAGCACCAGAGAAGTTAAGGGGTTTAAAGGCCATACTGACAGTCCTATTCTTTGGCAAAATCAGGATCCGGCTACTGGTAGTTTGAAGCCAGAGACTACAGAACCCCTTGGACGTCTGACACAGCCGGGGTCCCTCATGGGGAGAGAGCGGGCTGCCGCTCTGGACACAATGTGATGGGGTGCACGAAAGGGCTTAGCTGAAGAGCACAGTGGCGGGATGGCTCCGGGAATTCACTAGTAAATCTTGGCTGTTGATAAATTTATTCCCCATCTAGGGCTGTCCCCTAGTGGTGTTTCTGGGAAACTCCCAAGCCAAAGAAATCCAAGGCCCTGGTGAAAGCAGTGAGATGGAAAGAACGGGAACAAAATGACTGATATGCTGTATAGACAGCCTAACCTTTCCAAGGCCCACGTCACCCAATTCACACGTGAATAGGGTTGTAATCCCTGCGACGGCCAGATGCTAGTATTACACTGGCTAAAGTAGGAGGCAAAATATATGCCCCATGATTATCCTTGTGCTCCAAAAGGAGGAAATTCTAAGACTTAGTTTAGCCATTACTTGCAACTTCACATTTCATTTTTAAGCTTCTAGGCTTTCCTCATAGCAGAAGGTTCCCAAAAGACTACTATGCTTCATGCCATCTTATGACCTTACTCCCCCCACTACTCCGCCTCAACTCACTTCCTTGACCTTTCAAATATTCAACGAGGTGATGTTGGCTTCCCCTGCTTATTGCAAGCACACTTGGTGGTATAAGATTATGCAAAATAAAGCAAAACAAGGTCATTTTGTATAAAATAGATAGGTAAGGTCTAACTGGACAAGAGGAGGGAAAAAAGGCAGTTTCTGAGAGAGTAGTGTTTTTACTGCACTCTGGGACCTTCCATGGATCCAGGGGAAATACTCTGAAGAAAGCAGGTGGCCTAAGCACAAATATGGAAGACTGCCACGTTTTTATTTATTCAAAGGAACTCTTCCAGGTGCATAAAGAAGTCACAAATTAATGGTAAAAAAAAGAACAAAAACAAAACATCTGCTAATTAAGTGTTGCATTTAATGAAAACCACCTAAGAAAAGGAGACACGCGAGAACCAGAGAACCAGCCACCCAGAGCTGACTTTCTGTCGCAGACCACCCCCCTCCAGCGAAGCGCTGGATACCACTGCAGAACAAGTCATCACTGCTGAAGCAGCGGAGCTGGAGGTGCTGTCAAGTCAGCAGGTTTGTTGGCCAGATGCAATGAACTCAATGAAGCACTTGGAGATGTAATACCCTAGCTAGAGGAACATGGTCTGAAACCTCTCCTTGCTGCAAGGGCCGATAACCCCAGGGCAACCTCATTCTGGTCCTAAGCAGCCTCATTCTGGTCCTGCCTGGCTGGACCCTCCTTATTCCAACAGCAAAGGTCACTGAGGACAATTAAATCAACCCCTCTAGTCTCTCTCTCTCTCGCAATCCCTCTAGTCTCTCTCTCTCTCTCTCTCTTTCTCCTTTCCTTCAACCCTTTTACAAGTTATTACAGGGCAGCAGTTCTGAGCTCTCAGGAAACAGGGCCTTAGTTGCGGCTGGAGGCTGAGAGGCATAAAACAACAGTCTAGAAATTCCTTTCATCTTATGGCACTGATTTAGCTTAGATTTGCTTTTTCCTCTTCTCTCTCTCTCACCCCCAGATGGACATACTGGTATCAAACGGCTCTAGTTTTCAAGCTGAACTGGGATTTCCCAGCAGAAGAAACACTGGTCGTTGTCATCTCGAAGTTCCCACTTCACCACCAGTTTTATCTGGAGCAAGAGAAAAAGAATTGGGGGAAAAATAAAACTAGGACCTCACGTCAATCCAGAATTGATTTAACTATGAATCCTAGATGTACATGGTAACAGATCTCCTAGTTGCTTGTGACTTTTTTCTTAAATCACACCACCATGAAAGCTGCTTGGGATGTGGACAAGCCCTGTGTCTTTAAGTCTAGAAGGAGGAACCCAGTTACAGCTACGCTTTGGTGTTAGCACCACATACTATTCTACTTAACTTACCAAATATAATTTCTAGAGCACCTTTTCCCATCTTGGGTCAATGGTACATAAATGAAGGCTTACATGAAAAAATAATTTTACATTTAGACAATTTCTCTTGTATTTGGCAATCTGACCCAGCTTTTTCCAACTGTAACCACAAAGAGCAGAGACTGTTAGGAATAAGGAAACTTACTTGTAACTTGGAAACAAAAATATCAAAGCACAAAGGATGTCTAAAGAAGTTTACCATTATATGAGTAATTTCAGGAACAACCCTTTGTGCAATAGCATACAGTTTCAGTTAACTTCCTTAAACTGTTTTTGATAATATACCTTGCCAGAGATCTCTGCCTTGACTTGTTAAACTTGTACTGGGAGCTGCCCCTTCTAATTCTTAATAAAGCAGTGACACTTTGCCAGTTCCTTCTTATGTGGATGTTAGCTTGTTTGTTATTACATCTCTTTCGTGCTCAACTGTTTCTTTATAACACAATATTTGAGTGACAGTGATACCCAGGCTTCTTGAACCTTGTTTTTCAAGACAGGTACACATTACTATTTTACTTAGTACTTAAATCACCATAGCTTAAGCTGTTTTTCAAATGAAATGTAATTCACTTAATAACTACCACATATAAAGTGCCTACTACATAGCAGGCCCTAACTAGACACTCTGTGTAAGTAACTGAGGCCCTGAGGTACCCTTGATTATATGGCCACCCAGCAAATTACTCTACAAATCTGTCCCTGACCTTTAGAGTCTCCGACATCCCTTAAACACAGATTCCCTACATTAGAGACCGAAAATGTTCTTTAATTATGTGCCATTTCTAGAAAATAAATGGCCAGATTGCTCCTGGGTTCTATATGACTGAAAAAAGTAATCCCTTTACTTCCTCCATTATCAGGATTCGTATTTTTAATACAGGCCCCTTGCAGCAGGCTCTATCTTGTAAATGTTTGATAGAAAAAAAAGTAGGTACAGCAGGGTGAGTCAGAGGTGAAGGTCAGGGCTGGAGGGGGGTGGAGGGAGAAAGAAGCGTGGAAGAAGCTACTTCTCTGCCATGGAGCCAACAAGCTACTGCTCCCTTGATAACAGATCATTGGAGAAAGTAGGATTTTCTTATAACAATGTATAACAACTTGAAATCTTGAACTATTTGATATGTGATAAAATCTTTTAACACTAGACAGGTTTTAGAGCCACAAGACCTGGCTCTAAGTCTAGACTATAATATTTCTTAGCAGAGTGGACTCTGTTCACATTGTATAATATTGGAAGCTCAAATTTCTTCATCTGTAAAAAAGGAGTAATATCACCTCTGCAAAGGGCGGTCAAGAGAATCCAGTGAAACACTGTATATAAAAATGGCTAACCATGAGGCTGTAGACAAAGAACAAAGGGACACTAAAAAATAGCTGCGGCACCTCATGATTCCTAACAGTCGAACTTACCTCCTTTTCCTCCGCTCCTTGCCTTCCCAGAAATGAAGGACTCCCACTCCAATCTTTTCTTCCTGCCCCCCTTCCTCAGATATCTAATCTAGTCACAAGATCTTCAGTGTCCTCAACAACAATGTCACTTACAGAGGGGTAGTCACTCTTCACCGGTAGTTTAGCCATGTAGCTGTAGGTCTTGTTTTTTTCTATGGGGCAGTTGACGCCGCTCTTACAGCCGTCGGCCTCAGGGATGGCAAAGGCGATCGGAACGCCCATCACAATGCCATGCACCACGGCTTTGCTCCCTTGAGACTGAGTGTCTAAGAGAGAAAAGACAATCAGACGGTGAAGGAAACAGGCTATTTCCAAACTCTAAATAAAAAATTCAGATATATTTTCAAGCAACAGCATTGCTATGATAGCCAATCATAAAGTCTGTATTTCTTAATTCCTAGGGTCTATTTCTCTTTGTAGTTATGCTTTGTACCTTTGTGAACACAACAGAGCAAGCATTCACTCCAAAAGTTAAAGAGATTACTGAATTATGCAAAAAAAAAGTAAAGGAATCAGTGGGGGTTGTTTTCTTTGTTCTTAACCCCCACTTCACTTCCTTTCATAGTTTCCCAAGAGAATCAGAGCTACTTGGATAAACTCATTCAACTAATTGATTTTTGGCAGTAAACTTTCTATTTAATATTTATATCAGTTTCTGTCGAAGTGTATTGTGTATTTTAAAGAGTTTTTAGGAGACTGGTCTTTGAATTCTCAAATAATCCTGCACAAAGGATTCCTTTTTATTTTTATTGAAATTAAAAATAAAACAGAAGGTAATGTGGGAAGAGCAAATAAGTCTACATAGATATGCCATGGACTATAACAGGAGAGAAAGAAGTAACCTTCTAGAAACTGGGTAAGATTAGAAAGAGGCACATTTTTTGCTAAGCTCTACCCTTCATATGACAAAATGGGCAGGAGGAAAAAACATAATAAAATTAGGGCAACCATGCCCTGGCTGGTGTGGCTCACTGATTTGAGTGTTGGCCTGTGAACCAAGGGGTTGCCAGTTTGGTTCCCAGCTGGGGCACATGCCTGGGTTGCGGGCCTGGACCCTAGCTGGGGGTGTGCGAGAGGCAACCAGTCTGTGTTTCTCCCTCACATCGATGCTTCTTTCCCTCTCTCCCTTCCTTCCCCTCTCTGAAAATTAATAAATAAAATCTTTAAAAAAAATTGGGGGGCAACTAGTCATGAGCTATGGGGTTATTCTGGAGACCCACAGTATTGGCTCTGCTTCTTTTTCTTTCTTTTAAAAATTTATTTATTTATTTATTTTTAGAGAGAGGGGAAGGGAAGGAGAAAGAGAGGGAGAGAAACATCAATGTGTGGTTGCTTCTCATGCACCCCCTAGTGGTGATCTGACCTGCAACCCAGGCACATGCCCTGACCGGGACTTGAGCCAGCAACCCTATGGTTCGCCAGCTGGCGCTCACTCCACTGAACCGCACCAGCCAGGGCCTGCTGCTGCTGCTTCTTCTTCTTCATCTCCTCCTTTTGTGCACCATTCCCAGAGCTACTGTAATACGGGGTCAATGAGCAGAGTGGAGCAAGCTCCTAGTCCATCTCCCTGCTCCAAAAATCCATTTAACATATTGTCCTTGGTAGAGGACACGTCAGACATTAAACTGAGAACAGGCACTACACTTGATCTTAGCCAAAGGCCAAGAAGCCATGGGCAATTTCTTTCTGTCTGGGTTGGCAATTACTTTTACTTAGAAGGTACTTTTTTTTTTTTGTTTTGTTTGGAACAATAGTGAAGCCAGGGTGTCACCCAGGAGAGAAAACAACTCTGGTACTTAGAGCTGTCTTTAGGCTTTAGAAGACAGCTGACAGGAACTCTGAGATTTCTTATTAGACTGTCTAGTCTTAATCTCCAGGATAAATAAGAAGAGAAGGATTCAAGGTAGATGCCCTTTCTAGAAATCGGGGTTTTGCATTTCTCTAGATTCTTGGGGATCTGAAGGTGATGAACGTGGTACTAGAGGCAACAAGTTCCAATAATATTTCTTCAAACTGTAGAAAGTTCTGATTTCTTGATTGCTTCTAGGGTCCCCTCTGAGTTGCCTAAACCTCACAGAGGCTAAGTATGAACTGTTCTGGTATTCTGAGGCAGAACACAGACTTAATAGGTGGAAGTATAGTGCTTAAAATAACATTTTGGAGGAGTTCCAAAGTCTACAGAATTGGGTTCTATACCGATAATACTCTGCAGTTGGTAGCTAAACAGAGCTGACATTCCCATAAAAGCCTACTGTGCAATATGGTCCCAAATAGGACACAGAGAAGCCAAGCTGTCTTCTCTCACCTGTGAACACATGGAAATTTCTCTCTTTGCTTAAAGGGAGTATGGACTCTAGGAAACAGGCATATAGGAACCCCATATAAGAAGGGTGTCTAACGGTATAGCAAATCCTGGCTTTACACAGGTTGGAAGGGAGGTCACAGAATTCTTGACTGTAATTTCCCTCCCCCACATTCCCATGCTCATGACAATACTTGAGATTGATGTTATACTTTAAGGTGGATTTGAAGTAAGAGCCACTTTTACTCACTGCTGGTGAAAGTGACATTGACAGTGTAAGACTGTCCTTTCTGCAGATGGCAGGGCTGCACAGGGCATGGGATCACATTCACTTCCTTTATGACGCCAACTCCGGAACCTGCAGAAGAAAAGGAGTTGAAATAAAAGAAGAAATAAACCACGTAGGCTGTCCCTACATAATGGGGAGATGCTCTGCTCTCCCAATTATGGAGAGTTCTTTCTCTTCTGACCCTCTGTGGTCTCCAGGACAGTGTTCACATTTGATGGGTAAAGGGGAATTAAGGAAATTATCACGTATACCTGGCCAGCTCCCCTGCTGTATAACAGGGGGTGGGCTACACCACAGAAAATCATCCCCACCCCTCCTTCCATCCCCACACAGATTTGAAAGCAGCACACATGTCATACAAGTGACGGCTCCCGTCACAGCCGTCCCCACCGTCTTTGGGTCCTGTCACGGTATCTCTCCAGATTAGCGGTCTCCAAGCTTTGTATGCCCCCACCAGTGAGAACAACTGTAAGCGCTCATCTGCAAGATACAGATGTGTATGCTCCACTTTGGAAACCTGTGTTCTTCAAAATAAGTATCTTTGAGGCAGGGTGTGTGGTTTTGTTTTAATTTCAGTCTAAAAAAGGACAAAAGTACTGTTCATTCACAATGAATGACCAAAGTTAAGTTAATACAAATCTTTCAAAATCCTCTTATCTCATCCAGACCCCTGACACTGGACGGCTGAATGGGAGAGAGTACAAGTGAACGGGCAGTTACCGTCGCCTGTAACAGGATAAGCTTAAGGTCTGCAGTTCAGCTGTTGCCGCTGAGAGGTAGGCTCTGGGACCTGATGTCGGCATTTGAAGTCTCACCGGCTCCATTATTTACTGTGCAACCTCAGGCAAGCCACTTAACCTCTACGGGGATAGTAGTACCTCATAGAGTAGGTGAGCTAACAGGCATATAACTCTGAGGTAAGTGTTTGGAACACAGTCATGCTATACATAAGTCCTCCTTATGCGCTGTTTCTCTTTCCATGGTTTCAGTAAACCATGATAAACTGTGGTCCAAAAAGAGTAAATGGAAAATTCTAGAAATAAACAATTCACAATTTGTTTGTTGTTTTTTAACAATTTGTAAGTTTTAAGTTTTGAGTAGCGTGATAAAATCTCACACCATCCCACTCCATCCCGCCCCGAACATGACTCATCTTTGCCCAGCAAGGCACTTAGTAGCTGACTATGCGGGCATTACAGTACTTGTGTTCAAGTAACTCTTACTTTATTTAATAATGGCCCCAAAGAACAAGAGTAGTGATGCTGGAAATTCAGATATGCCAAAGAGAAGCCATAAAGTGCCTCCTTTATGTGAAAAGGTATATATGCATAGGAAAACACATTGTGTGTGTATATATATATATAGAGTTTGGTACTATCCAGTTTCAGGAATCTACTGGGGATCTTAGAATATATTTCCAGTGGAAAAAGGGGGGAAACTTTATACTACTGTATAAAGCTATTATTGTCATCATATCATGATTCAGTCCATAAATTTAATTCAGAATAGCTGCTCCTGTGTGCGTAAGCATGTTCCCTTTTGACATACAAGGTGAGACCCTCATCTCAAATATACTTTGTAGGTAGACATCATGGATCCAGTTGATAGAAAGGACTCTGTCTCAAAAGCTGAATGCATGAAGACAGAGAGCAAACCTAGGGTTGAGAGCAAATTATCTGCTTATAGTTGCCAGGTTAGCTTCATCCTGGAGGTCTGTGGGATACGAATGGAGAAACTCAGGTGGTACCCTCTGCTTTCTCAGCCTATGCCTGCTCTTGGGTAGAACAGTTTCATTTTACTGACCACGACTGCTCCAGTGAGGTCTGTACATAAATATGTTGCAGTCCCTTAACCCAAACTTGCTTCTTCATCATGGCAAAGTTCTCAAACTATGCACTCAAGAATTCTCTTCTCTAAGCACTCTGTTCCACTCTGTACTATATTCCATGGACAGGGGAAAAACCATGCAGAACTCTAATCAACAACCTACTAACAATCAGTGCTTATGCTGTAATTTCCATATCTAGCTTCTACTGGCTTCGTTCAAGGCTGGATCACATGATGTAGAAGGAACTCAGTAAAGAGTAGTACTCATAGCTCCTTCATCTGGTTTTTTGGGTGACAAGTTCTTAGACTTCCAGTGTCAACAGAACAAACTCCTCACTCCTAACCTGTAAAAACTTGCAAAACTACTTTGCTTGGCCCTATTTCTCATTCCAGCAAATGCCACTCCAGAGAAAAGGGGGCATACAGGGGAACTCAAAAAAAACTTTTGATATGGGCACTGAAGTTTTTACTTTGTATTTCCCAATTCAAAAGTAAATTGAAAATCTGTAACCGACATCTCCTTCCTGTAAGTTCTTGCCTGCTATTTTCAAATGAGTAGAAAGAGTCTGGATTAGGTTTCGTCAGGTGTTTGTTTGTTTTTTTCTTTAAATGTTACCACAGAAGCCCAAAGTACCTCAAAACACACACTCGTTTTATTAGCTGTGAGAACTTGGGCAAGGTACTCTATGTGCCTGTTTCCTCATCTGTAAAACAGATTGTGAGGGCTGAATGAATTAATACAGTGTCTTCATCCAAGTGTCGGCCACTAAATTTAATGGAGGTAAAGGCAGTAACCTGAGGCAATTTCAGCGTCTTTCAGGTACCAGTCTCCCTGGTCAGTGGCACCACATTTGCCAAGTATTAATAGGTCAGCAGCCTTTATTCCTTAATCAGCCTGTCCCCTAGCCCCAAACTTTGCTTTTGCTGCAACATACATTTTGATGACATAGTGGAGACAAGATTTATTTCTTCATTTACTTTTTCAACAAATATCTATTGAGCAATCACTATTACTTGGGAACTGGATATAAAGGAACGAACTTATACTGGTTTCTATTCTGCTGTGTGACTTTAGGAAGTTACCTAACATTTCTGGAATTCAACAGCTGACTGTATGATCTCCAAGTTTCCTTCCAGCTCACACATTTTATAAAATTAGTTTCATGCCTCTTTCACTTATTACTGCACCTCTTCACTTCATAAAAGTTCAGCTGAACAATTAATTACATAGACTTGACTGAATGAACTCACAATTTCTTCCCACCACCCTTAGCATTTCCCAGTAAAGATTCCCACTACAGCGGCAAGAAGGGGTAATGTGTCACAAGCTGTGACCACAAACACGAGTTTTATAGATAGGAAAACCCACAAAGTTCCATAGCCCAAAGGAAAACGCTAACGGAATGAATGATGAAAAGAACGGACTTTTGACTTGTCAGCAAACGGTAAATTAAAAAGAAAAGCAAACAGAGTGGGGAGAGAAAGGTCATCCAAGATAGAAGGCAAAAATGAAAGTTCTGTGCCCTACTCTTCAGCCCCTGCGCTGTCTATGGACCTTCGATTGTCTGACCTACAAACTTCAGAAAACTTCAGCCAAAGGTCCATCCATCTCCAGGAATGTCTAGGGACCCCAAACACGCGTTCGAAGGGCAGAAACAAAGTTGTGAGCGGTCGAGTTTCCTCGAGTCTGGCACCTTCTCCCCGACCCGAACCCACTCCACGAGGGGTCCCAAGATTGAGCCTAGCCGTTTACGCCCAACCTAGATCGGGGTCTCAGCGCGAGGTTCCAGCGGAGGCTCCCGCCGAGAGCACGGGAACCTCAGACTGGTCTGGGGCTCACCGCAATCCAAGTAATGCACCGGCTCTGCCAGGGCGGAGGCGCTGAGCGCCAGGAGCAGGAACGCGGCAGTCAGGAAACGCATCGCTGCTAAGGAACTTCCAAGCCCGAGGAAGGAAGCAGCGGCCGCCGTAGTCACAAGATAAACCTACCGGGGCGGGGTCGAGGAGGAGCTCAGTCAGGCCACCAGGCACCAGCAAACAAGGCCAAGGCCCGCCCACGTCCCGCCCCCGGCTCCTGGGAGCCAGGTTCCGGTCGGTCTCCGCCCCGCGGCCCCGCAGGATAGGATGCATGTCAGCCCGCCTCTCTCTTCAGCTCTTGGCTTTGTTGGTGTATGTTCGCTTCGCAATGGGAGCATTTCTAGCCAATAAAAATTCCTCCGCTTCTCGCGTCACCCAATAAACGCGCTTGGAGGCGGGGCTCCTGTGGGCTCCACCTCCCGAGGACCACGCGGAGAAGGGGATTGGGGGGACGCGAGGGGTGGGGTTTGTGGAGGAAGATGGCGGCCTCCCGGGACATATTCCTAAAGGTGGCGGCGTTTAGAGCGGTCCCCCCCTGGTGGAGTAGCAGGTACCAAGCCCAAAAGGGCACTGGGGGAGTGTGTTAGGTTTTGCGCCTTCCAGGACTTATCGGAAAATACGGTCCGCGGGGGAGGTGAGCGTGTGGCGTGAGGCTGTCCAGTTGGAGGTCGTCAGGTTTGGTGAGACAGTGCGGGTGGTGGTCGTCAGTTTTGGCGTAATGCTGTCCAGGTGGGGTGGGTCGCCAGGTGCCCCTTTGTTCGCGGGCTCATCCTCCTCCCTTGCGCGCGGCAGGCTCTTCGCGGCCTCCGTCAGACCTCAGGCTCACCGGGAAGCGTCGTCCTCCAGCCCTGAGGCTGGCGAAGGGCAGGTTCACCTCACGGAGAGTTGCGTGCAGGTAAGAGGGGTGGCTGTGCCCGGACTAGGGCCGGAAGTGCAGGGAGCTCCCCTTGGCCCACCTTTCTCCCTCCCTTCGCCTGGCATTCCTGATCCCCTCTTCCTGCATTTCAGAGGCTTCTGGAAATCACCCAAGGGTCAGAATTCCTCAGGCTGGAGGTGGAGGGAGGTGGATGCTCCGGATTCCAATACAAATTTTCACTGGATACAGTTATCAACCCCGACGACAGGCAAGGAGGAAGGGGTGGATCCTCAGAGACTGTGCGGGAGGGATAAAAGTGTCTCCAGTTTAAGGTGCACTTTTATTCCAAGTTAAAAGGTTTTCTAAAGAGGCTTACCATCCCCTTTCTCACACAGTGGGGATACAGGGAAGCTTCATTGTCTTGATTCAAAATAACTGAATTATGGAGGAAAATTGGCCTGCCTGGGTTAGGATTAGGGTCAGGGTCCATCGGAGAGTTGATAGAGTTAGGCTGGACTAGATTCCAGGCCTAAATCTCTATAAACATTTTCCAGTATTCATTCCATTGAATCTCTTTGCCTCAAAATCGGCACATTTTGGGGGTAATAGGAAGTGCATCCTCTATTTCAGAAAACTGAGCATGTGCACCTCTCACCACAGGGCTCAGAGGATGTCATGTTTTTGGTGTTTATGGTATTCATTAATGCTTTTCTCCTTTTTTTTTTTTTTTTCAGGGTATTTGAACAGGGTGGGGCAAGAGTGGTGGTTGACTCTGATAGCTTGGCCTTCGTGAAAGGGGCCCAGGTGGACTTCAGCCAAGAACTGATCCGAAGCTCATTTCAAGTGTTGAACAATCCTCAGGCACAGAAAGGCTGCTCCTGTGGGTCATCCTTCTCTGTCAAACTTTAATTCGATGACAGGTGACCCAGAGATTGCCAGCACTGGTACCAATTTGAGGAACCTGGGATGAGTAGAATTTTAGTGGTTTCCTTCCAATCATGTTCCTCTCTTTATTTTATTTCCCACAGTCCAGGGATGTTGTGTTTCTATTATTTTCAGAATGTGAAGCTTTTACTCTTGACTTAATTTCTCCTGCACAATTTTAAGGCCAAGGCTCTAGTTGCTGTTACCTAAGCTTTAATAACTAGTTGAAGCCCAGTATAATCTGTAGAGTCTCCAAGGTTCTGAAATTTGAGTTACTTCTCTGGCCTTCAGAGCTGCTTGTATAGCTATGTATGAAAGCTTCATTTTAAAGAAGGTCCTTATTAACTTGCGTTTTGAGTCAGAGGCACAGATTAGGTAACTTAAACACTCATTACTAAGTCAGAAGGGATGAGAAAGGCAAATGAAATGTTCTCATTTTCATTTCACCCTTCCTGAATGCACTGGTTGACTTATCCTTATTTTCTCTGCAGCTCATGCTCCACTTCCCATTTATTAGGACAAATATATTTTCTTCTTATACTCAGGGATCTACTAAACTCACAAAACCAAAAGCTCATCACTCAGAAAACAGACGTAACCTCCATTGATACCTGAGTCACTTGAAAAATAGCTTCCATACTCCCACAGACATTTCAAGATTCTGTGATCATTTAGTGACTGAATCTCTTAAAGATATGTTGCTTTTCTTAATTTATGTTATAAAACAGCTCTGGTCTCATGCATAGCAGGAACTGGTTTGTTTGTTGAACTAGGTAGTAGATACTTAGGGATTTTCTTTTAGGTTGGATTACCAGATAATATACAGGACCCCCAGTTTAATTTGAATTTCAAATGAACAATAGGTAATTTTTAGTATAAAAGTGTCCCACATATTGCATGAGACATACTTATCCTAAAAATTTTGTGTTGTTTATCTGAAATTAAAGTTTAACTGGGCACCCTGTATTTTTATTTGTTAAACGTGGCAACTTTATTTTAGGGTCACTGAAGGAAAAGTGTTTTAAGCCACAAAATTCCAATGAATTTTAAAGTGCTTGTTTGGGTTTGGCATTTAAATAGGTAATAGAGCTAGAAATAGTTGATGTATGTGCATGGCTGCTGGGGGAGCCAGAACTGAATGGACAGACAACAAGAAGACAAAAGTACCACCACCTTGATGAATGATTTATAAATGTTAACGTTAGGGAAACCACACTCAGTTTGATTCTGGAAGAATTAACAGGTAAACCCATTTTTTCCTTGCAAGCATAAAAGTTCATTAGAGCAAAAACTTGCATTTCTGGACTAGATGGAAACATTTCTAGACTGGATTAGAATTAAATTGTTCAAATAAAATAATTTACCATTAAAAAATGGAAATGCAGAATTTAGAGACAGAAAGAATCTGAGAGAGAAACACAGATGCTTACATTTTTTAACATGGGAAAATCTAGAACTTAGAGAAAACAAACCTGCCTTGTATATGCAATGTGTACAAAGAGGAAAGAAGGGAACACTTAGAAACCAGAGCAGATTTCTTAGCAGATTTTCATGGAAGGAGGCAGAAACCAGTATACCATGAAAGCATCTCTGTTTAACTTTACTAAGACACTGGAAATTATTGCCAGTAACTGGGCCTTAAACGATTTTCAGCTCACATTAAGTCCTTTCATCCTCCTCAAAAAGACATTTGGTACATTTTAAGTATTGGAAATATTCTTCCAGAATATTTGTGTGGGTTATTTATTGATATAGTGATTTAAAAACAATGAGCATAAACATAATAGCTTTAGTAGCTAAATAAACCATTAAATTGTAGTGATCAAATAGGAACAGGGTCCCTTGGAATGCCTACATGTAAGTACTGTTAATGGGAAAAATGGAATTTTGTGTTTGGAAAGAGTAGATTTGGGAGAAACCACTTTTATTTCACACAGAAAGAAAGCTTCGGGGGGAACCTGAAGTAACAAGAACTCTCCACTGCCCTGGGTAGCTCAGTTGGTTAGAGCATGTCCCAATATGCCACGGTTGTGGGTTTGCAAGAATCCCCATTCAGGGCATACGCAAGAATTAACCAATGAATGCATAGCTAAGTGGAACAACAAAGCGATGTTTCTCTTTCCCTTCCTCTCTCTCAAATCAATTTTTTAAGAAAGTCTCCACTGTAGGTGGATGATGTAGAGCTTTGAAGAGCACAGTACGAGGAAATGATAATATTGGTAATATTGAGGTGGCAGTGGGCAGTTTGCTTGGAATAAACAGGAAGCAATGTCAAACAGGTTTAGGATCTTTCACAGGCACTTTCTGACCAGATGCTCTCTTCTCGGCAGGACATGAAAGACAGCAGACATTTTCACAAGTTGTGCTCACTGTGCAAATTTATTTAGAAAAACTATACTCTTCCAGTATCAATTGAAGATTTTGGTTTCTTTTTTTTCTGCCCCCTTTTACTTTTTAAGGGGAGGTTATTAAGGTCCTATTTGTTGCAGAGTTGATTTTATTTAACTGTAAATGCAGGGTAGTAAGTACCGGGGGCAGCATGCCTCCCCTTCCCCTTTGCTTTAGCAAAACAATACTGCAGGAATGGAAGGCGAGAAGCCCTGGATCTGCTTTATGTTGCGGATAACTTTATGTTGGCTCCAAAGAGGGGGCCTCTAGGTCAATGTTCAGATCTTACCTTGTGGAATAACGCTTTAGTTAGGTTATTGATAGTGACTAGAGGTATGTAAGCTATAGGTGTCTAACCCACCTTTCGCGATGAGGAGAAAACAGGTTGAGAAGTAAGAGATTAGGGAGGACTACTAAAGTAGGTGTCCAGGAGAATACTCTTCTCTTAGGAGAATTGAGCCCTAATTTTTTGGCCATTCGTTATAAAGTACCCAGGCTGAGGGTTGACATTTGGCAGGAACATAATATATAGAGAAATAGGCAGCACTGATAGTCACGGTGTATCTGTCCCTTAAACTCTGGCCCCAAGCTGATGTCATAAAGCTTGCGCTATCCACTGCAACATTATTATGATTTTGTATGTTTGTCTCAAAGGCAGGAAACTACTTTTTTAGGGATCTAGGCTTGATATTTATGATTGCTTTTTTAAAATATCCCGACCCGAGGATATGTTTTCATTGGTTTTTGGCGAGAAAAACAAACATCGATCAGTTGTCTTTTGTATGCTCCCTGACCGGGGATCAAGCCTACATCCTAGGTAGGTTCCCTGACCGGGAATTGAACCTGCAACCTTCTGGTGTACAGGACAATGTGCCAACCAACTCAGTCACCCTGGCAGGCCTACGATTTCTTTTTAAAAATCTCTGCCTGCCATTTTCCCACAGAAATGCCACCAGACTGCCTAAGCGAAACTTGCTATAAGAAATTTTGAAACAATGATCATCTGGCTTTAATTGAAAATATAGTCTGGTAAATATATAAAGAGAAGGAAGAAACATTTAAATAACCTATAGCCAGCAGGTGTATTTAAAAATATTTTATTTTTTGAATAGATAATACATATGGTACAAAATTCCAAGAGGCACAAAAGGGGATACAGTGCAAAGTGTCCCAATCCTGTACCCATCCACCCTGTCATCCTCCCCACAAATTAGCATTGTTTCTAAGAATTTAGCCTACAGGTATAATCCCATAGATATAATATGAAATAACATTTGCACGAGAATATTCATTATAGCATTATTTGTAATAGCAAAAGATAGGAAACAATGGAAATGTTCACCAGTAGGGAACCAATGAAATAACTTACGAATTATCCATTCAATGGAAGAGTATACATTTATAAAATAGAATGAGAGCTCTTATGTGCAAGTATCAAACCAAAGCAAAGCGTAGAACAGCATGCATAGTATGCTGTTTGTGTTTTTAATACATGGAAATATGTGTATGTGCCTGAACTATCTCTGGAAGGGCAAAGTGAGGGTTAGGAGGAGGGGCAATGGAGCAGCATCTAATAAAGCGCAGTGCCGGCGCTGGCCCGGTGGCTCAGCTGATTAGAGCATCACCCGCTTGCAGGATGGATCCCAGGTCAGGGCACTTACAAAAAATAACCAATGAATGTATAAATGAGTGGAAAGACAAATCGAGGTTTCTTCTCTCCCTCTTTCTCTCTAAAACCAATTTAAAAAATTAAGAAAAAGAAAGTGCGGTCCCAAGAGGGTATATTGAGGAATGGTTAAGACCTCTGAAATAATGGGGTGTAAGGTGGAGTTAGTGGATATCCAATTCTCTTTCCCCTTTTTTTAGACAAATAGCAGCATGTGTTATACTTGGTTACACAACCCTCCTTTTTTCCTTAAATCTGTTTTGGGTATCTTATCAAGGCATTTAGAGCCATTTTTTATTTTTCTATTTAGGGCTCCATAGCAATTGATTGTAATCTTGCTATTACAAATAATGCTATAATAAATAGCCTCTTACATATGTCATTTCACATTTGGTGAGCATATAGCTAAAGATTAAGTTCCTAGAAGTAGAATTACTGATTCAAAGAGTAAGCGATTTTGAAAGACATTTTCATATCCTCTTCAGAAGTTGTATCAATTTATACTTGTATGTGAGTGCCTCTTTCTCCAGATGCTTGCCAACTGACAATTAAAGTGTCTCAGTGTGGTCTAACTTGCATTTCTTTTATTTTGAAGGTCAGAATTTTTTTTATGTTTAAGAACTATATTTTTGTCTGCTGAAAGCATCTCAACTAGTACAGTGACCTAGAAAAATTTTTTAAGCTTCGTGTGTCTCCATTTCCTTATCTCTGAGTTGGGAATAAAACTAGTAAATAGGATTGTTGGATGACTAAATGAAGTTTGTGTATGGCACGCAACACTGCCTAGCACATAGTAGGCATTCAGTAAGTTATCATGTGACGGCTGACAGAGCAGCAGGAAGGACAGGGCAGATTCAATTAAGAAAACAGTATTCACTGCCTTGTTCATTTACATTGCCGTATCAGAGAAATACAAACTCAGAGCTTTCCTTGTCTTAGAAGAATAAAGAGCCTTTTCCTGTTGGAACCCAGTCATAGGCTATTGGCAGAGCTGGCAAGGGGTAGGCACAGCCTCCTCTCTAATACTTAGACTTTGCCAACGTGATGAAGAAATTTGGTTGAATGCGGAACAAAAACAAGAGCCCAGATGTGCATTTCTTTATTCTGCTGTGGTTCTAAATTCCCAGTTAGCCAAGGTTGGAGTTGGTCTGTACTTGTAAACTCAGAGGAATGCCAGCCAGCCATTTTATTGAAGGGGAAGCGGGCAGGAGCTTTCTGAGTAGAGAGGAGAAACAGCATAGGAAATCTGGCTTCCCCCAAAACAAGACTACACTGTGTTTCACAAGCTAGAAAATAGACCTCTTTATTTTTAGCGCATCAAACTGGTGTCTACAAAAAGAGAGCCCAGGAAAATTTGCTTCCTGTAAGGAGCAGGATGTACTTGATACAGGTCTTGGGAGATGGGCACCCTGTCTTTGTGGCAGCCCTGTGCACAGGACCTTCCATAGTGTATATTTCGGATGCTTATTTACTTGAAGCTACTGAATATTTTCTTTGGACTTGTGTAAAGCCCTGGCTCCCCCCTTTTTAAAAGTCAACTTCCCATATTTTTAATATTGCCCTCTTGTTTCTCAGGCTGCTTGCCCCTCTTCATCCGTGTCTCTCACACTCAGCAAGCTAGTATTAGTCTTACTTCTCTGAGATGAGGGACCCTTCTGCCCCTCTATGGGGCCACGGAAGTGGCTATAGGATGATGTGGTAAAATCTGGTCCAGACCAGATCGGCTGAGTGGCAGTGATGGTTCTTGGGAGGAGGCATTGGAGTCACTCCCAAGCTTCCTCCATCCTTTTTTGCTCCATAGCTTCTGAAGGACAATCCTGGGACAGATTAGGCTCTGACCCAGTTTTGGAATCCTCAGGATGATACATGAGTCATGGCTGGAAGAGGGGTCTGCAGTGGGAGGCCGAAGGACCTTGCGTGTTTGCACAGCTTGAGGGGGAGAGCGAGGGCCATCCTCTGGTACGCATCCCGTGGCAAGGCCAGGACAGATGGTGGACTGGGCCTCACGGCGAGTGGCTGAAGCATTAAAGCATTTGGTGGTGTTGGAGCCAAGCAGGGGCATGGTAGCATGGAGGCCGTGGCGGGCTCGCAGCCAAAGCCTAAGCTGGGAGGTGAAAAGCAGGCAAGGCTGGCTGGGAGTGCGGCTGCAGGGCCTCCTGCCGGGTGTCTTCACGGCGTCTTCCCAGCCAGGAGGGCGTCCTCAAGGCCTCCGCCAGGGCCCTTCTCCAGGTAGCTGTCCACACTGACCCCTCACTGCTACTCCTTGGCAGTGCAGCGGGGCGGCCCTGCCTCGGCCACATAACCTGGGGGGCAGCGGCAGCGGTAGGAGCCCTCTGTGTTCTCGCAGTGACCATGGGCACAGAGTGCCGCAGGTCCATTCAAGTCATCACACTCATTCACATCTAAGGAGGAAAAGCAGGAGAGGTCTGGTGGGCGCCCAGGGGCCTTTGGCCTGTTGCTTCTGGCCCTCTGGTCACTGGCCCCAGCCCTGCAGTGGGACCCTAGGCATGGCAGCCAGAGGCTGAAGTCACTGCCCCAAACTAAGCAACTCGGGGACACAAAGCAGGTGGTAGCAAGCCCATAGTATGCCCAGGAGCGTGACCATACTCTTGTCCCTGCCCTTTTTTCTGTCTAGGCAGCTCCATGGAAAGGCTTTACATTGCTTTCAACCTTCCTTTGGGGGTTTTTCACCACCCATCCTGGGGCTGGGTAGCCTCCCTCTGGGGCGGCCGTGGATTTCCCAGCGATTCTAAAGTTAGTCATGCATCTATCTCCAAAGTGAGCAATGGGCCAGTCTGACTTTTCCACACGGAGCCTCAGCGCCAGGGTGCTTCATGGGCATTGCCGCTCCGACTCTAAACTTACCTACACAGGCCATGTGGGCCATGTCCAGCTGGAAGCCCTCGAAGCAGTCACAGGTGTACCCCTCCCGCACGCGTACACAGCGGCCGTTCTCACAGCCGTTCAGGATACCGCACTCCTCGGCCTGAAGCCCTTCGAAGCCGGCCTGGTGTTCTGGTGGGAGGACGTCAGAGAAGGGAGAAGGAACCTGGGGCCTGGACCCTCACCCTCCACTGCAAAGGGATGGCCCCTGTTCAATTCCTGGGGCGGGGATGGGGAGGGTCATAAAACTCACAAAAAGATGCCAAAACAAAAGGCAACACTCAGTTTACGTAAGGTGGACCTTCAAATGAGATCTCTAAATGAGACCTCCGAAAGGGCTAGGATTCACTACTTTCACAATGCCAGGGCTCCTGAGCAGTGGGGTGTCTTACAGTTTTGGTTTCATTGTGGTTGGTGGGAAGGTGTTTTGTTAAGAACTTTATTTAGCTGGGAGGAGATTGGCAGCGAAAGTGGATTTACCCTCACTCAACACAAAACTGCAAGGCCTGCCTAACCCTCCTCTCTGTCTAAGCAACTGCCCACCCCATAAAAAGACCCCACCCCTAATCTCAGGGCAGCTCTTAGTCCGATAAGGTGGCTGTGCCTGCGGCAGGTACTTGCACAGATGCCAGGCCTGACTTCCTTATTAGAATCCAAGTCCTGAGTGCCGGGGTCACTGCCGTTGACAAACTAAGTCACCACAGCAGCAGCGAGCCTTTAGAGTGGTTACAAGTTCCTAATTAACATTTCAGGTCACAAGGTGGAACCTGTAGAGCCGGTCATTCTGCATACCCCAAGTGGTGAGGGAAATAAAATGGACGGAGCAGAGTGCACCTGCTTTCTCTGCCCGCTTTCTCTCTCTCTCAACTTCCACAGGGAAGCTTTGGAGGTTGGGACGGTGATGTCCTGGACCTCCGTGTCCCCAGTGCTAGCCTATCATAGGGAGTGGTTAGGGTTTGACTTGGGCACCTGGAGCTGTCCCTTCCCTTGAGTGACCCGTGGGGAGGGCTTGGTACATCTTTCCACTTCCCTGTCCTCACCCTGCTGGCAGTGACTAGCAGGTGGAGGAGATGGAAGTGGAACAACTTTGGTGCCCACCTCGTCCCCATTTTTGTAGCAACACCAACCTGGATGGCTGGCCACATAGCGGGGCTGGAGTTCTGAGGGCTGCAGGGGAGACTCGGGGCCTGGAGCGTGGTCCCCTGGGTGGCTGGCTGTGTTGGAGAAGGGCGGCTCAGGGACGGTGTCTTCGGGGCCCAGGTAGTTGTAGAAGGGGGCCCCATCTGGGCCATAGAGGCTGTAGTGCAGGTCCTCGGGCCCGGGGCCATACTCATAGCCTGGGCGGAAGTGGACCCCGGCCTCCCGCTCTGCTTCAATCCGGGCCACATTGCACAGCTGAGCGTAGACCTCTGTCAGGGAGGAGGGAGAGAGGACGCTGGGCTCTGGTCCTGGTAGCTAAAGCTGGTGTGCTGCCCCTGGCTCACTACCCCAGGGGAGGGAGCAGGCTGGGACTGGGGCCCTCTGAGAGCTCCCAGCGGAGCTACTCTCCCCACCACCTGCCCCACTTTGTCCCCAGGTGGCAGGGACTGAAGACAGGGCCACTACTCTGGCTGCCCTGCCCCTCTCTAAATGGCCTCTCCCAAAGGGAGGGCATTCTCTACACTGAGACCCAGCCCGCTGTGGAGGCGCCCCCTCTGTCCCTACAGGCATGGGCCACCCCTCACCAGAGCTCCTGGGGGGGCACAGCGCGCACTGCTGGCTCCAGGCCTCGCCGTCCTGGCAGCAGCACTCTGTGTAGGTGGTGCGGTGCCCATGCAGGGGTTGGCTGCACACATAATTGGTGACTTTTTTCCAGCAGATGTCCATGTGGATGTCGTGGTCAGGCAGGTCCTCTGGTGGCAGAGACACAGAGGCACGTGAGCGCCCCCAGGCCAGCCCCCTCCCCGCTGCCCACCAGGCCAGGCCCACGGACCCACGCCGCTGGTGCTGTTCATGCAGCGCTGCTGGCTGAGGTCCAGGGTGAGGGGCGGGCTGCAGAAGCAGTGGAAGGAGCCCTCCGTGTTCACACACTCGCCATTCTCACAGGCCATGTCCTGGCACTCGTCGTGGTCTGTGGTGGCAGGAAGGGGGGCAGAGCGTGTGGGGCAGCGCCAAGGCCCCTGGACCCCCCTCATGGGAAGGGGTTTGCTTGTAACTGATAATGAAGAGGTGGCACCTGCCTCCCCCTCCCCTGCCCTGGCCAAGTCTGGGAGGCCCTGCTCCAGGGCTGCTTTCCCAGCAGGTCCCCTCGGCTCCCTTCACCTCAGACCTGCCCGCTGCAGCTGGCCTCTGTCCCTGGAAGGGAGACTCCCAGCAAGAAAGGGGCTGGCTGGCAGGGCTGGGGGAGCACCCAGGGGGCCAGGTGGGGAGGGCGGGAGTGTGTCCTCACCCTCACACTTCCTGCCGGTGGCGTCGTAGTGGTAACCAGGGTTGCACAGGCAGATGTAGCCAGGAACCGTGTTGAGGCAGCGGCCGTTCTGGCAGAGACCAGGCCCAAACATCACACACTCGTCGGCATCTGTGAGAAGGCAGAGAGGCAGTGAGGGGAAGGCCAGAAGCAGTAGGAGGCTGTACCTGAGCCTCAGGGCTCCGGGGCCTGACTTGCTGGGCTGGAATCCTGGCCCTGACACACTTGGTAGTTGGGCGACTTCGGGTGACTTGCTTAAGTTCTCCTTGCCTCAGTTTTCTACCTAAAAAATGCAGATATGACTACTTAACCTCGTACAGTTCTGATAAGGATTAAAAGATTAATACATGCAAGATGCTTAAAATAGTGCTTGGCACATAGCAAACACTCCAGGAAAGCTACTTCATTTTCTGTTACTTCCTTCTCTGGCTTTAGGATTAAGGCGCACATACCTAAACTGCCCACTTGGAGTACAGGTTCCCCAAAGCTGCAGCCCTGTCAGTGGGGCCAGGGGGACGGGCAGCTGCTCCGCCCCCACACCGCAGCACTCCCCGCTCTGCCCTGTGCCCTGAGACAGGTTAGTCAAGGCATCACGGTTTGTCCCTGGAGGATTCAGCCTCGGGGAGCAGGAACACCAAGGCAGGGCTCTGTGAAGATTCCCGGAAAAGCTCCGGTCAGACCTCCCAGCCAAAGCTCTGGAGGCCCTGAGCCCCAGGACAGGAGCGACGAAAGCGACCTGGGAGTCTGGGCTGCGTGCAGAGCTCCCCCGGGGACCTCCCGGAGGACCAGGCTGGAACGGTTCAGGTGAGTGGGGTTTGGGGAGCAGGGTGTGCAGGGGGTTACCTGTGTACGTGGTCTGTCCAAACATCCAGGCTCCTTCCACAGGGATGTAGCCTTTACCACTAGGGCAGATCTCGCTGAATTCGACTGTGGGGAAGCAGCCAAGCTCAGACAGAGGAGGGCTCTGCCCCCTTCTCTCAGGGTCACCCTGCAAAACCGACCCTGAGAGGATCCAGGGCCGCCGGGGGCTTACCCGAGTCCTCGGCGGGGCAGATGTCACAGGCGTCTCCCCAGCTGGTGCCCTGGGTGCAGCAGCACTCGGCCTTGGTGGTGTTCCGGCCCAGGAGGCTGGAGCAGGGCGGCTGGCCTTTGTGCCCAGAGTAGCATTCCATGCGGGTGGGGCCCGAGGCGTGGTCCCCTGGCGGGGCCTCGGGGACACTCTGACCTGCATGTGATAGATGTTCCTGATTACTGTCTGTTCATGGCCCTCTGGGATGCCCTAGCCTTTACAAAGTTAACGTTTATATACCACTTTATAGTGTACAAAACGCTTTTACCTATGTTATCTCATTTGATGATCTCAGCGACTCTATGTGGTGTGCATTACCATCCGCTCCCTTCCTTGTACAGGCAGGCAAGTGAGACTTACAGGAGTTGGGTGACTTGCCACAGCCAGCAGCTATTCAGTGGCATGGCAGGGAGCTGACCTCAGTTCCTCATGTGCTAAAGCCCCTGTTCTTTCCAGTATACCACCTTGCCTTCTGCCACCACGGCGGGGTGCCCCCAGTCATGAGGATGGTCCTTTGCTTCATGCTGTACCCTAACCCTCCCACCCTTCCTGTTCTAGGTCCTGCTTTCTTTCCCCCAGGTTAGAAGAGGCCAGCTGAGTCTGAGGCCTGCCCGGGGGGAGGGGCTGAACCCAGCAGCTCCGGGGTGGCTTGGAAAGAGGAGAGTCCAGCTTAGCTCTGCTTCCAGAGGGTTTCCTGGGGTTGAATTGGGGGTCTCTCCAAGGCTCACTCTGAGGTCCCTAGGCCACCCTGAGTTGGCCTCAGAGCTTCCCGCGCCTCCTGTAGGCTCTCTCACAGCCCTGGAGCCTCCTGGATGTTTCTTGGCCTGGGGCAGAGCCCCCTTTTATCTTGATATCTGCTGCACTCAGACTCCTTGCCTCTCCACATTCCACTCCTAGGCTGCACCCCTGCCCTGCACTGCCCCAGTCCTGGCCCGGGCTCCCCCTCAAGCCCTGGGGCAGGGGAAGAGCAAGCCACAGAGTGGTCGTGCATAACGGTTGGGTGGAGTACTGAGCACGCTCACCTCCAGCCGCCCGCGGGCGGCAGCGCCCCTCCTGGGCGTCGTACTCCTCCAGGTCGCTGGCACAGAGGCAGAGGAAGGAGCCCTCCACATTCTCACAGAGTGCCGCCCCACACACTGCCAGCATGAGCTCACACTCGTTCACGTCTGCCAGGCATGGGGACAGGCTCGTGGGTAGGGAAGGGGCAGCCCACACCCTCTGCCCCTACCTCCAGCCTGGGGGCAGATACTCATCCCCTCAAAAGAAAGAGGCTGGGTCTTGAGGGAAAAGCAGAAGTGGGCATGAGTTAGCAGGAAGGAGGAACAGATGAACGAAGGTCACGGGAAGAGAGAGAATGAGGGTGGCAGACAAGGGTCAGACAAGAGGAAGGGCTCCTCCCTCTGAATGTGTTCGGAAGGAACGTGCTGTTGAGACCCTGAGGTCTGGAGAAGGGTGGAACCTTCATGAATGCCCCCCACCGCCTCCTGCTGGTAGACTGCGGCCACGCTTCCCCTACCGACTTGGCCAAGGTGCCCGCTGCAGGGTACAGCTGAAGCCTCCCTTCCTTGCCCTCTCTCTGAGGACCCATTATGGAGCTAGGCAACCGTGACCATTTCAGGACCAGGGCCCTGGGGCCTCTATCCAGGACAGCTGAGGTCTGTGGGAATGGGATAACGGGCCCAAGGGCCTCTGGTTCTCTGGCCCAGAGCCCAGCCCTGAGGCTTCTCACCAACGCAGTCCCAGCCGGAGGACGAGGTCTCAAAGCCCTGGTCGCAGAGGCAGCGGAAGGAGCCCTCCGTGTTGTCGCAGAAGCCGTGGCTCCCACACACGGTGTCATTGGCACACTCGTCTATGTCTGTGGGACAGGGGAGACCAGCGTGTAGGGTGTGCTCTCACTCACTCTCTTTATTTGCTGGGAATAGTTATTTTTGTGGTCTAGTAACACCAAGATCTGTGAAAAGTAACTTCTAAACAGAGGACAAGAAAACTCTTAACAACGCTCTTCAGTTTTTGTGCAAGTCCTGCTCTATGAAAAATATACAAACTATGAAACAACTGCAGAAGCGGTGCCCTCAGGACAAAATAATTTCTAGCTGGACACATGAAAAACAGGCGTCCCCAACCCACCCACCTGTGAGTCCCCCTCCCCACTCACCAATGCAGTCTCCGGTCGGGGCCATGTGGAAGCCAGGCTGGCAGCCCAGGACACAGCGGTAGGAGCCAGGGCTATTCTCACACCTCCAGGCCCCACACACCGGGTCTCCGTAGTCCTTACATTCATCAATATCTGTCCCCAGAGTCATGAGAGGGGACAGAAGTGGCCAGGTCACTGCTCTGGCCCCACCTGTCTGGCATTACAAGGTCACGCCCCACAGCCTCTGGGGTTCTTGATATAGTTCAAAACTGCCGTGAGCATCTCAACACCAAAACATCGAGTTCGGGGACATTCCCCCTGACCCAGCAGGGACGAGCGTCTAAAAGAGAGCTCTATGCTATTTAGGAAAGCACTGAGCTCTAAGCTTCTTTTCCCCACCCCCTTCTCCTGAAAGCAGAGCACTTTGTACTTGACTATATAAAACCTTCACCAAAGTGTATTACAGACAGTTGTCTTCATATCTGTCTCCCTTGCTCAATTTCAAGATTCCCCGTAACTGTCTATTTGACCTAGCAAAAAGACATCGAACCTAGCAGGTGTTTAATAAATGTCTATCAAATCAGTTTGGCTTTAAAAACTAGATTGTGTGCTCTGCTAGCAAGAATTATTATTGTCTTCATTTTGTCATCCTTGCACAGTCCCTGAGTCAGCAGAGGCTCACTAAATGCATTATCCACACCGTGATTAATGTGTAGAAAGTTCCCTGCTCCCTAGAAGCTGCAGTCCCTGGTCCCAGGGAGCTGGGACCAGGCGGGGGTGTGGGTGGGGGGGCGGGGGTGGAGGTGGGAAGATGTGGGGCAGAGCCCTGTCCCTCCCCCCGGAAACCCTTACCCACACACTCCCCGCTCTCTGGGGAGGCCTGGAAGCCAGTCTCACACAGACAGTTGAAGGAGCCCTCAGTGTTGACACAGCGCCCTCCCAGGCACCAGTCTGTGACTGCACACTCGTCCACATCTAAAACAGAGACCTCTGTCAGCAGACCCAGTCTTGGGTCCTTAGAACACTGGGCGGCTTCCCGTGGGCCCTAAGTGGCCCACAGGAGGACCAAGGTAGGAAAGGGCTGAAGGTCTAAGGAGGCGTTCAGAGCTGGAAGCCAGAAGCCAGGCTGGGGGCAGGAGCCCAGGAACTGGGGCTCTGTCAAGGGGAAAGGGGTGACACTCGAAGAGTTTGCAGGGTGCATGCCTGCTGTAGACATCGCAGAGGCCCTGGTGAGAGAGTCCTGTCCCAACACTTGGCTCCCTCTCATTGCTGTCAGCCTCCCACCTTCCCATCCCTGGGTGCGAGGGAGGGAGCAGGAGCCCTTTATCATCAATATTCTAGACATAGCCTCTAGCTCCCTCTGCTGCTGGCAAGTGGACATGGCCAAGCTGGCTTCTCACCCTGGCAGCTGGTGCCTCCCTCGGCGCTGACAAAGCCCGGTGCACAGAGACAGAAGAAGGATCCATGGCTGTTGAGGCACTCGCCGTGGGGTGCGCAGTACTCCTCTCCCTTGCACTCGTTCACATCTGCGGGGAGAAGATAGCCAGTGGTGTCTCCTGGGGATGGTCCCGCCTCTGAACGCAGTCCCCGGTGGGGAGACCTGAGCCACTCACCCTCACACACAGTGCCATTGGCCAGCTGGAAGCCCAGGGGGCAGAGGCACTGGTAGGAGCCAGCCGTGTTCTTGCACTCGCCTCCCAGGCAGTTGCTCTGGAGGTCTTCACACTCATCCACATCTGCAGGGTCACACAGGAAGGAAGCTGGTGGCAGCACCTCCCAAGGACAGGACCCAATGGGGAAGGACTCAGGAGGGCCTGTCCCCTGCCTGGAGAGTCTGGCCCCAAAAAGACATCATCTCCTCACAAAGCAGCACAGCCTTAGAGAAGCTTGTGAGGGAGCCTTCCTGGAGCAGAATGACTGGAGCTCCCTCCACCTCTGCCCCAGCCCAGCAGGCTCCCCTGCCGCTTGGCTGCACTTCTCCAACTGCCTGTGCAGTGCCTGCCTTGGGGACACTCGGCATCTGTCAGCAACCCTGGCCTGGGATGGCAAAACCCCACTGCCCTCATGGCTGAGATGGCTTTGGTTTTACTGAGAAGCAGTAGGAAACAAATGAGAAACAAACCAAGGAAACACATACACGGAACCTGAGAAGATAATAGAAACTAGATTCCTCACATTGGCCTGCAGATTTCTTGTACTGGCCAGTGTTTTTCAAAATACGGCTTCAGTAGCACACTGACGAGGTACCTCTGGGGAGCTTGTTAGAAAACAGATCGCAAGCTCCTCCCGGCCCCCGACAGAGGCTCATTTAGCAGGCCTGGGACAGCGCCCAGGAGCTGCGCTCTCCCAGCAAGGCTGATGCCCACTGAATCTTGCAACCCAGTGGCTTGTTGGTCCCCTAGACCCAGGTCTGTAGGTGTCCACAGCGAGCCCACAATCTGAGGTGGACAGAGGGGCCCTGGTCTAGGCACAGCCCCTGCTGTGCCCCGGCCACTCTCTTCTCTCAGGGTGGTGGGTTAGCCTCCCTCGCCTGCCACATGGGCTCTTACCTTCACAGGTGTGGCCCCGGGGGCTGGGCCGGTAGCCCTGATCACAGTCCCTGCAGGAGAAGGAGCCGGCAGTGTTGGTGCAGACTCCGGAGGGGCAGACTCCCGGAAAGGCACACTCGTCTAGGTCTGGGGCAGACAGCGGCGGTCACCTGGGGGCTCAGGAGGGCTTCCTCCACCTGCTGAGGCAGGAGCCCCCCACCCCTCTGGCCTTTCTCTCTGAGCTTGGAGGACTCTCTCCAGGGCCCTTGGGAATGGCAGGCCCTGCCTGGGGGCCTCTAGGGAAACCCCAGCACCCTCTCTCCAGAATGCTTCTGGGGCATCTCTACTGTGAGATTCCCTATGGTGTCTGTGGTCCCCCTTTCTTCCTGTCTTCACCTCCAAACTTAGGTATTATGACAACAGAAGCTCTCCTTGGGGCCAAGCCCATGGAGAGGGTCCTCTAGCCTGCCCTGGAGACCCTCCACATTCGCTCAAAGCTAGAGGACAAATGGAGTGTCCTTTGGAAGGTAGGAGGGCCGGTATCTTATCTTCGGTCCCTCTGCCACGCCTGCCTCGGGTTACCTTCGCAGGCAGTGCCGTCTTCATTCACCCAGTACCCACTCTCGCAGGCTGAGCAGGCGAAGGAGCCCTCGGTGTTGAGGCAGAGGCCTGTGGGGCACGAGGCCCGGCTGGCACACTCGTTGACATCTGAAACAGGCCATTGAGTTCTGGGTGGGACTCTGCAGGACAGACAGGCCAAGACTGACAGGTGGATGGGGACCAGTGAGAGGACAGATCTTGGCAGCGCCACGCTTTGGGTCAGCATGGTTAGGGCTGCGGGACCGGGGCAGGTCAGGAGCATGTGTGCGCGCGGCAGGCACGGCAGACTGATTTGCTGTGGAGAAAGGGCACTTCGGCATCTTTGTACCTTGACAGCTCTTCCCATCTGAGGTGACCTCGTAGCCCTGCTCACAAGAGCATCTGAAGGAGCCCTCCAGGTTGTGGCACCTTCCATGGGCACAGACCCCGGGGGTCAGGCACTCATTCACATCTGCAAGAGAGAAACATGGGATGGCAAGCTGGCCACCCCGCATGCAGCCTCCTTTGCCAGGCTTGGAGCGTCTCCCTCACAAGGCCAAGGAATCACCCTGCAGAGGACCCATGGGCCGCCCTGGGAAGGCACAAGGTCACCCCTGCCCCTGGCCCTGCATCCTGGTCCTAGGCAGCACACGATGCCCTTCCCCACTGAGTGCACTTCATCTCTCCCGTGACACTGAGAAAAGGGGGCCGGGTCCCTCTGCCCTGGGGCTGGGGCCCATCCAAGGACACCTAGCGTGAAGTGTCCAAGCCCTGGACTCACCTAACAATGGTCCTGAACCTCCCTGGCTTCCTACCTGCCCACCAAACTGGCATGATCTCATGTCCCCAGCCTCGAAACCAGCATTAATAGGTGAGTGGGCAACACCAAGAAAGGCCAAGCTATGCCTGGGTGGCTGAAGGGCAGTGTCAAGGGCCTGGGAAATGTCTGCCCTCTCAGAGCCTCAAAGCATCTATTCACAACTCAGTCCCTCCTGGCGTTCTAAACTCCAGGCCCTCCTTCCTGCGGGGGCTGAGGGGGAAGGGCTTCCTCCCACAGCTGATACATAGCCCACAGTGGAGGGAGAAGAGCACCTGCCCTTCCTTAGGCATTGCTGTTTAGATACTGCTGTTGGGTTGCAGAGGGCAGGAGACCCCTCCTCCCAGGAAGCCCCAGCAGGGCCTGGCTGTTAGCTCCCACCACCGGATATAGCCTCTTCCTAAGATGCTTGGCACTTCACTCTACCCAGCAGGATCCAGCCACAGAAGCTTCTGGGACCTTGAGCCGTAGCTCCTGAAAGGATATGACCAAGGAGCCAAAGTGGCCCCCACCCTAGCTGATTCAGAGAGCAGAGCATCAGTTACTGACGCACACCCATCTTATGCCCCACGTCAGCCGGGGACCCAGCCAGGTGACGAAGGACAAGAGCCTCCAAACCACTTCCCTCTGCCCACCTCTTTCTCTCCCTGTGTGTGGGCTTAACCAAAGGTCCCAAGGCCAAACAGTCCTCTCTGTGCCTTGGCGCATGGCCCTCACCTACGCAGCGCCCGCTCTGGCCCCTGTAGCCCTCCTCGCAGGCCAGGCAAGTGTAGGAGCCGGGGGAGTTGACGCATCTCCCATCAGGGCAGGTGCCAGGGTGACGGCATTCGTCGATATCTGCAAAACAACAGCCCCTCCCTGGGTCATCCCTGGGAGCCACAGCACATGGGGAGGAGGCCTGTGAGGAGGCACATCCTTGACCCTGCCCTTGGTTGGAGAGAGGGAGGGATGGCAGTTTCTGTACAAATGGAAAGTAGGAAAAAGTGAGTGTTGTCCTGTGTTCCCAACTCCACCTCCCACCCACAGTCCAGGACAAAGAGAGATGGACGAACTCTGGAAAGGGCGATTCCCTGGGTGGCAGGGAGGCGCTGTGGTGACCACTGGCTGTGGGAGGGCGAGGGAGCGCGGCTTTGTGAGCCGAACTGGTGGGAACGGCCTTCGGCTCTCCCTTGGCGAACTCCTGGTTTTTTGTGTTTTTGTTTTTTTACAAGTGGTGACAATTACTGGGATTGTACATATTTGGCACAGCAGGCCCCAGAATAGATCAGCAGGTGGGTGACAAAGGCAAAATGGACTTCCTGCACCAGAAAATGAGGACTGACGATGGCCCCCGGTCTTGGAGGTGGCCAAGACCAGCGCCGAGGCTGGCGCAGAGCTAAGCGCAGATGCTGGCAAGGTCCCTCTGCTGGAGAGAAGACTTTTCTTCCAGCCAAGGACCATGTGGGGCTCCCAGCACCCACTCTGGTGAGACCCAGGAAAGTCCAGAGAAAGGACGAGCCCTGGCACCCACTGGACAAGCAGGGGAAAAGGGGACGCGGAAGCGGGAGGAGCAGCAGTGCTGGGAGAGTGACAACAAGGAGGGGGTGGAGCTCATGCGCACAGGGTTCTTCCCGACCAGACCTGGCATCTCAAGGAGTCCATATCCAAGGCCCCAGAGGTCTGACTGAGGGAGGAAGGGCGTCCCACAGGGACGGAACTCGGGTGGGGCTGCGGGAGAACACTTTGTTTCTCCAGCCCAGCGTCAAGGCTCCCACTCATGACACACAGGTTGGCTGAGCGCCAGAGGAAACAGAGGGGTTTACTCTTCCTAACTGGGTCATTGTCAATGTCTTGGAGGAAGTCTACCTGCTTTTGCAGACCAAGAGGTCCTACTGCCCAGGAGGAAGACCTACTCAGCTCCATGGAGGAAATGCAGGAGGGAGGGCCATGGGTCAGAACACAGGCCTTCTGTCAAGGGACTAAGGCTAGAAGTGTCATTAAAAGCGCCTAAAAGCACCTGGGCCCTGCAGTGGAGGAAGAAAATGGTTTCCCCTGAGGTTGTTTGGTCTGCAGGAGAAAGGGCACATGAAAGCCCTCTGATCCAGGGAGCCGGGGCCTCTCAAGACCAAAATTTCATCCTGAGGGTCCAGAAGAAGAGGAAGACATTCACAAGACATTCACAGGTGGTTGCTCAGCTGGGTATCTACAAGGAGATACTCAGAGCTCCAGGGTAATCTTGGGGACACTGAGACAAGTCTCATCTCTGGAAAGAGGGCAGCCAGGAGCCCCTGTCGGGTGTGGTGACACCAAGTTAAGCTACTGTAAGGGTTTCTGTAAAGACAGACATGGAGAGAATGAGACAGAGATGGAGGCAATGAAGCATCCAAGACCACCGCTTTGGCCGCCCGGGAGAGGGCAGCTGGCACCGTGGCCCGCTAGCCTCGGCTGAGGTACCAGAAGGAGGCGGGGCAAAGCCCTTGGGAATGATAAGCAATCCCTGCTTCAGGAAGGCAAGACTCTGGGGATGAAAGAGAACAAGGAGGAGGCAAAGGTCCTCGTTGAAGACAGCACTGAGAAAAAAAATAAAATCTTGGGACCTCTCCTGCAGAGATCAGACAGTGTAGGAAGAAGGTCAGATGTGCCAGCAGCAAAAAACCCTGCGATGTGTCCTGGGGCGCATCTGCGGAGGTGGTGCACGGAATGTCCCGTGCTGGGGATTCGGGGACTTGTGGTCCGAATGCTGTTCATTAAGTATTCCAGCTCTTTCTGGGCCATGGTGGGCTTGTGTCTACCTCCTTGTGGTTCTGTGGGCCAGGGGACTAGACCTCTGTGATTTATGGACCAAAGCATTTAATTGTGTGCAACGCTGCAGAGGGCTCTTTCTTTCTTCCATGGAGAATGGCCACATTCAAGATGCTGCCCATTCCTTTAGCCTTGTCTAGAGCCAGGAAATGAGGGGCAGGACACCCAACTGACCCTTGATGGACGTGTGGCATTGGTCAGATATAAAATTTGCTCTGTTCTGGGAGCATTTGCGATCTCGCTCCCAGCATATATCATCGGTTTGGCTCAAATAAACTCTTACAAAATTTTCAAAAAAAATTTTTGTTGTGTTCTAAATCACTAAGATTGGGGCTGTTTGTAGGTGAAGCATAACCTAGTCTACCCTGGCAGGCCGTTACTGGCTTCCTTCCTCAGGGCCCTGGCCAGCGATTACCACCCTTACCACATTGAGAGGTCTGCCAGCAGGTGGCGGAGAGAGGGCAGGGGAGCTAAGAGGCCCTTACTCTCCACCTGAGCCATGATGGCCTCTTCTAAGTGGGAGCCATTAGCCACAGTGATCAAAAGGAGCCAGATAAAGATGCTGCGTGAAGTGGATGCCACATCTAACCCGTCCCTGCTAAAGGCTCTGGCTCTGCTGTCACCAGGTATTCTGAGGCTGTTCCGGCGCCTGGAGTAGAGCCAGATGTTCTGCCTAGTCTCGGGTTTGAATTTTAATCTAAGACCACAGTATGTTTGCTTAGGTTTCACCCTGGTCACAAGGGTGGGAGCCTCCTTCTTACTTACTGCTGTACTCCCAGCCCATCCATGGCTGGGACACAGCTGGCGCTCAGCAAATGTTTGTGGATCAGGCAATGGGACCATGTGACTAAAACTTCTCACCCTCTTGGTATGAGGCTGCTGAAGAGACCCCAGAAGATCCATGGAAAGAGTCACTCCTGGGAGCAGCGTGCCAACCTGCGCTCTACATGGGGAGAACTCTGGAGCTTCCCCACAAGCGAGCACTTCTCCCTTCGCGGAGGAAATGGCAGCGTGCCGCCTCTGTTCCTCGTGCGAGCACAGGGTGGAAGAGAGCTCAGTCAGGAGCCAGGAGCTCAGGCAGCCGTGGATGTGGGAGGGGGACCGCAAAGCCCTGGCAGTCTCACCCTTTCCCAGCGGAACCCAGAGTCCTGGTACGACAGACGTGCCATTGAGACTTTGGATGGGCTGCTGTCCAGACCACTCAGGCCTTTCACCAGAGACTTCGAGTTCAAGTGGAAAGAGCGATTTCTTCGTTGGAAAAAGAAGAAAGAGGGAGAGGAAATTGACCGGGCTCCCGGGGTGATAGGCCGGGGCTGTGGTCGCCAGTGGAAACCTGGAGAAGTGGACAGGCTACATCAGTCTTTCTTTCAACAGATTCAGAGTATCTGCCCTGGGCCACTGCTCAGCCTGAGCCCCCAGCCGAGGTGTGTGTCTGGAACCCGTGCTCCCGGAAGGGAAGGGGACGATCGGGGGCGTGGTCTGGGGCATGAGGGGAGCCTGGATGTGAAAAAGAATGGTGCTCTCAGACAGTAGCACTTCCCCGTGTTCACGGAGGGTCTGCACTTGCACATTGTATGGCTTATTCGGTCCTCGCAGGAGCCTCTGACATGAGCATGATGGTTTTCATTTTCAGACACCGAGACAAGGGCCAGATCCAGGCCTGTCTCTGCCAAAGCCTGTGCCCTTGACAAGGACTACTCAGGATAATTCAGATCTTTTTAATGTCCTGGTGTTTGCTTGGTTCATTTCCTGTAGTTTTGCTTTTCTTTTCGATAATGTCTAAGGTCGAATTCCTAATGCTGCAATGCTTTAATGAGGCGATCTCTCGGGTACCTAGCACAGTGCCTGGCACACGGTAGGCACCTGCCAAATGCTAACTCCCTTCACTCTCTGTTTCCCTGGAGAGGCCAGGCTGCCGTCTCCATTGGGCTATTGAAAACGAGGGGTTCTGCCTTTGGTCACGCAAGCTTGAGTTTTAACAGGGGAGAGCCACAAGGGAGGCATTGAGGGGGGAAGGTGACATATAAGACAGGTAATTTTCTGTCGTACAACCCCAGCCACCTCCTGCAAGCATTTGATACCCCGGCCTGGCAGTGGCAGGGAGGTGGCAGTGGCAGAGCTGCCAGGAGGTGGCACAACAGTGGCGGGTTTAAGCCAGTTGGCAATGTCACAGCAAGGATCAGGGCTCGTTCATTTGTCCATCCATCCAACTAGAGTTTGTTGGTGGTGTCCAACACATAGACAATTATTATCGGTCACTTAGGATATGGTCCAGTCCTAACAAGCTCACAGCCTGAAAGCTTCAGCAAGAAGGCCAAGGTTGATGCCCCAGGTGCCCCCAGATAGAGCGGCTCCTTCTGTTCGCACGAGGAGAGCACCATGACTCACAGCGAGGGGCACAGGTGTACACAGGGATGTCCTCGGGGTCTCATGTACATAAAGTTGTCGTGCTCTCGGCTTCAGGAGGCAGATGGGATGCTAAATATTGCTGAGGGGATGGAAGGCTCAATATTCCCAGATGGGTCTCTGTCCACAGGAGTGGGCTAGGTAGGCATCAAGGGGCCCAGGCAGGGACAAGCTGGAAGGGGCGTTGGGGGCAAGCAGTGCATGGGGAGATGGTGGGGCGGCACCCAGTTCCTTACCTTGGCAGTGTCCCTTCCTGACCATGATGTAGCCCTGGTCACACTCGCAGTGGTAGGAGCCCTCTGTGTTGGTGCACCGGCCCCCACGGCACGTCCCTGGCTGCTCACACTCGTCTACGTCTGCAAGCACAAGGAAAAGGCCTGAGTTGGGGCCAGCCCTGCCAGAGGTCCTGGGACTTCCTTTCAGAAGCCAAGGACAAGGAGGCCCATGCTGAGGCCCATGGGAAGGCATCCTTGATATGGCCATGATTGGCAGGGGGCTTCTACGCCAGATCTGAGACTGACCTAGCTCAGGCCCCTGCAAACCCCTGAGTTTCTTTCTCCCAAGGAGGCTAATTTGGGGGTCCATGGGGACCCTCACAGCTATCTCCTCACCACAATGCAAGGGCTGGTCTTGAGGTCAGGTGGCAGTCCATAAGACATGATCTGAAGTCAACAAAATCCCCCCTCCTGACCCTCCTACCTCCCCCTGCATTGGTCTGGTCCTAGAGTTCTTACAAGCCTTCTTAAAGGTTAGGGATGAAGCAGCAAATGAGAGACAGCACGTCAGGCAGCTGAGGAACTGTCAGTGAGGTGTATGCCATTGCTCCAAAGCATGCTGGTGCCCCATGATGGCTCAAAAACACAACCCTGGTCATGCCACTCCCTTGCTTAATCCCCACCAGGGCTCCTCCCACCAGGCTTCCCCGGCTCAGCCTGCCTCACAAGGCCTCTGCCACCTGGCCTCCATCTTGCTGTATTGCTGATCCCCACCGGACCGGCCTCTAAGCCTCTGTTCACACGAATGCCTCTGCTCCGTTAGATGGCCAGCAGAGTTCTCCCATTTCAAAGACCAGTTCTACTGATCAGCTTTGTGTTGCTATGGCCATGCCCCATTCCCTGCCCCACAGTCAAATGAATGGAGTCTTCACCTTCACCCCCACCCCCAGCCCTGGTTCAAGCACTTCACAGTCCTTGTGCAGATTAAATGAGACAATCCAGGTAAAGAGTTTAGCTCAGGGCCTGCCTGCCACAAGGCAGGCACTGAAGAAAGGTTAGCTATTATTATTATTATTGGAACAGTATTAAACCTGCCCCATAAAATCCAACCTCCTCAGCCTGGCATGTAAGATCTTTCAAGAGCTGGCCCCTGCTCCCACACACCTCCTAGCTTCGCTTCCCACCTCCCACGCACCTCCTAGCTTCAGCCACAGGAGCTGCTGCATGCCGGTCCCTTGCCTGGGGCGGCCTCCCACCCACCAGCTTGGCTGCCTCCTACTCATCTCTCAGGTGAGTCTCACTTCTCCCCTCCGACCCATACGCCCCTTCCCAGGGTTCCCCTGGGATCCGGGCCCTAACGGTAACTGTTCGTTTCTTCGCTTTTTTCTCCGTGACTGTCAAGAACATGCCTTATTATCCTAGTGACGTCCGGTGTCCGGCACAGTTCTCCCAAAAGTACACCTTGCATGAATGGAATAATAATCATTTGCTTCGGGACAGTGTTTTCCTCTGAAAAGTACTTCCTAACACCTCAGTGCCCAGCAGAGTCCCTGGCAGAAGGTGTAAAGTGCACACTCCTAGGCCCCCATCTGCAGATTCTGACCAGCAGGACCAGACGGACCCAGGAACCTGCATTTTGATAACTCTCCAGGCACTTCTGAGATAACTGGCCCGCACTTTAGAAGCGCTAATCCCAACGGGTGAGCAAAGGGAACTCAGAGCAGGGCCATGTTTGGGAACTTGGTAAAGGACCCGCCAACTGGTGGGGCCAGGATGACAGTCTGATAGGTGAGGCTGGGGGACTGATGTGCCCTACGGAGGAAAACGGAAACGGAAAAGGCCTGGCTCCTAACACACGGACGACGGGCTCCACAGGAGGTAAACGTGTCGTGAAAGCAAAACTGTAACTTTAATGAAAGAACATGTAGGAGAATATCTTTGTGACTTAAGGGTGGGCAAGAACTTCTCAAAGTCCCCAAAGCATAAAAGACAAAAGGTGAATTTCAATACATCAGAATTAAAGATTTCTATTAAAAAAAGGGGGAGGCATGTGAATAAGGATAATGGACAGAGGACCAAATGGGGGTGATGCAGTCCCTAAGCCCAGGCAAGTATGTGCAATACGTAAGGAATTCTGAAAGCGCCCCAAGAAAAACCGGCAACAAGCTTTGGGATACTGAGCAAAAGACAGGAACAAGCAATTTCCAGGTAAGGAAACCCGAAGGCTAACCTACGAAGAGATACTCACACTTATTAGTAAAGTAACTCATTTAAAATATTTAATAGTTAAATAATTCATATTAATCAATTATATTATTTGAATCCTAGAAATTGTAAATTAATGAAATAAAATAACAAGATATTGTTTTACAAGATGAGTAAAATTTAGACGGTGGATGTTGTCCTGGAAAAGGCCTCATTAAACCTGCCCCATTAAATCTCCTAGGGCCAGCAGTACTGACCTTGAGCTCTGTCCCTCCCCTCCCAACTGCTGAGTCTGGCAGAAACATCCCGGACGCCCAGGCCGGCACGCAGCAGAACGCCTTGTCTGGGCCAGTCTTGGCAACACCATTCCCTGCAGCAGCCACTGCTGGTCCCGGGCCAGCGCCCAGGCTGGGCCTGCAGAGAACAGCGCCTCCGCCCACAGCAGCGGCCACGGCTGCAAAGCCCGGAGAAGCCCCATGTCCTCAGCCTCTCCCCTCGCTACCTCCAGCTCGTTAGGAGCACTGCTGCCCGAGTCACTTCCCTGAGAGCCAGCTGACCGAATCACCACCCTCTGCTTCCAGATCTCTCCTGGCTGTCACTGCCCATGGGACAGCGTCCAAGCACTTCAGCCTGGGGCTCAAGTCACTTCACAACTGGCCTCAGCCCATGCCACTTCCTCCCCAGACCCCACGCTCTAGTCACAGTGGATTTGTCATTATTCCCAGGGTACGCCAGGCCTATTCACTGCTCTGCTCTACAGAAATGGTTCCCTTTCCCTGGAAGAGCCTCTGCTCCATTCAGTCCTTCACTTCGCATGTAAGGGAGTGTGTGTTGTTGGATGCAAACCATGCTTCAGGGCTGAAATGGCTTTGATTCTGTGCCCAGGTCTGCCACAACTAAGTGTGAGGTCCCTGGGTGCTTCAATTCACCTCTCGGAGCCTCAGTTTGCTAAACTATAAAGTGGGTATAAGGATTTCTATTGCATGGGGTTGGGATGATGAGCTTCGTAAATAAAATGCTTAGGACAGTGCCAGCGCATAGTAAGTGCTCTGCTCACAAGGGCATATTTCCCCCAGCCTGCCGGGAGTCCCTGTCAGCGGCCTCATGGGCCGCCCTCCCTTCCCTAATTGAAAGCATCTTCTGTCATTCAGAGTTTGGGGACCTGGCTTTTAGTCCTCGCTAGCCATGTCCCGGACCCTCACACTCTTGACTTTAGCCACAGTTCGCCGAAGGCTTTGTGAATGTTGCTGCTTTTCGATTCGTACCTCTCAGATTCAGTGTCAGGGTAGGTTGGCTTCCTCCCAAGTCCAGCTCAGAGCCCTGGTCTTCGTTCCCGGGGCCCCTGCACCCCCACGCTGCGGAGCTGTGACTGAGTGCTGTGAGTGCCCAGCTCCACTTCCGCTTCTACACTCTCTGTGGGGTCCTGCGCCCATCCCAAGGGCAAGGGCTTACCTTGGCATCCCTGCGTGGTCCCTGAGGGGGCCGGGGTGTAGCCAGGGTAGCAGAGGCAGGAGTAGGAGCCCACGTGGTTGACACAGCGCCCTTTTCCCATGCAGGGGTCCCTCAGACACTCATTGTCATCTGAGCATAGGGAGGTAGGGAGGTGAGGAGGGAGGTCAAGGGGGCCTTTCTTTGGCACCTGCCAGTAACCTGCCCATGCCAAGGGCTGGCTGAGGGATGGTGCGTGGGGCAAGGAGGGGATGAGGGAGCGGAGGAGGCCAGAGAGACGGAATATCTCTAAGGCTGGGAGCCATGAAGCCATCCACTGGGCCTGCTCAGGCACCAGGCAGCTGCCCCACACCTCCTCCCTGCCCTGTGGCCCCTCCCCCCATGGTTCCATGCTCACTTCCTTTCTCCTTCAAGGCACAGTGACTGTCTCCTTTGTATAATAATATTGGGGGGGGGGTGTGGGAGGAATCAGGCCCGCAGTCGATGACTTGTCTTGGCCCCTAAACCTCTCCCCTAGGGATGGCTCCGGTGAAGGCATGGTACAACAACGGCAGACCTCGGTCTGCTCTGCAGGCAGCAAGAAGGCCAGTGTGAAGGGCAGGCAGAGCTCAGAGCCGAGGGCTTCAGGCACTGGTCAGGGGGCTCTGGGGTTGCTTTCCACGCTTCTGCAGTCCTGAAGACTTGTCACACGCTTCTCCCAGGGACTGGTCTCCCCAAGGCTAAGGTAGGTTTGCCCACAGCGGTTGCATTCCTCCTCAACGCATGTGCCACACAGCACCACACGGGCCTTCCACTGTCTGGGCTCTGTCTTGACTCTGCCTCCCGGCAGCCCTGCTCCCACCCGCCCCGGACGCTGAGTGCACCCAGGGCTCGGAGGGAATACCTGTGCAATAGGCCTGGCTCGGGTGCAGCCGGTAGCCGGCGCTGCACAGGCATCTGTATCCATCTGGGAGGTTCACACAGGTTCCGGGGCCACAGATGCTGGTGGCTCCGGCGGCACACCTGTCAATATCTGTCAGAGACAGAGCAAAGCAGAAGTCAGGGCCGGGTAGTAGGTGGGCAAAGGCGGCGGCGCAGGGTGGAAGAGTGTGGGGGCAGGCCACAGGGGGCTCAAAGGACCTAACTGCATGCTTGGTTGGGCCCTCCCACACTCATATATATAGCATGGCCTGTATAAATACTCCCCACCCCCCCAACCCGGATGTCCCCCAGGGCCCTGAGCCCTACCAGGATGGAGCTTGAAAGAATACCTCACTTGAAACAAGACCAAGTAGATTCCAATGAATATCCTGAGTCCCAGCAGGGCCTGCTCTGCTGAGGTCTCTAGCCTGACCTTACCCTGAATACGGACAAGCGCTCACCGCAGTGCCCAGTGGATCCTTTCCCTGGCTAATCCTGCCCAATTTCCCCCAGACAGACCGACAGACAAATCTGGTGAGCAGGATGCCTGGGGAGAACTGCCAGGCAAGCACGGGGGAGGGGCCGGGGCCAGCTGAGCAGGGCCTTGATGCCACACTGAGACACGTAAGCAAGGGGGTCAGGCAACGTGGGGTGCGATCAGAGCTGCCTCTGAAAAACCACTCATCTTGCCATGCTCCCTTGCTCGGAAAGATGGGAGGGAAGGCACAGGGGGCCTTGAGAGACCTGCTAAAATAATTTAAATGAGGACCACCTTGGGCGGTGGTAATGGGGTAAAAAGCGGGGAGACAGACACTGAATTCAGAAGCAGTTGGGAAACTCACCAGGCCTCCAGGCTGAGGCTGCCTAGAGGGCAGAGATTCTGTCCTTAATACTGGAAAGGTACTTTGCACTGGCAACATGCTGAATGCACGAATCACTGACTGAACAATCGATGCTTTTGGCCTCTGTGTGCACTCTGATGTCTTAGCGGGAAGCCCACTCACCCTGGGCTTCCCCCTCCCCGCCCCACAGACCTGAGTGGCCCTGGAGACCCAGGGAATGGCTTGGCATGTGGCCTGTGATGGTTTCACAGCGGGGCTTCACAGCATTTGCTGAACTGAACTGAGCCGAACAGGCACACTGGCCCGCTTGGCAGGCTGCTCTGTTACTGGCCTGGCTCAACGTGTCAGCCTGGGGCCTCGTGGGGACCCCTGGTCAGGACCTAAATGTCCTCCTAGAGGGATGTTTGGGGGAAGACAGGGCAGATGAGGGATCAGGCAAAAGGCTATCGTGATGGTTGCGGGGAGAGTCTGTCTCCCTTCGCGCTGCTGCTGAGCTTGGCCTGGACCCCTCCCGCCCCCAGGCCCATTTTCCTTGTCGGAGACTCCGACTCCTGAGCTGAGCCCCCTGACCCGGCTCAGCCTGCCTGTGGGCAGAGGGCAGCTGGGGGCACTGCGCTGAGCCCAGAGGACGGAGGCCCAGGCAGTGGCAGCGGGAGGCCCCGGTCAAGCAGGAAGACGGACACCCACCCGCACCCAGGTTCTCTGGCCTGCTCCACCAGACTCCAGGGTCTCTCCCTTTGCCAGAGGAAATCCAGAAAGGCCCCTCTCCCCAAGGTGGCCTTGGGCTGTGAGGATGAGAGATCAGCAAGCCCCTGGAAAGGGCACGTGTGAGGGCACACCCGAGAACACGCGTGAGCTCACACATGCACAGGGAGTGGCAGGTAACACCGGCCTTGCTTCTCCCCAAACAATAAGCCTTGAGGAGGGCGCATTCCAGAGCAAGGTGGACTTGCCAGGGATCTCCCCACACAGCACCCACTCTCCATTGCAGCCGGCCAGGGCCGCAGGAAGAGCGAACACAGGCTCCCAGGCGGCTAACCCTTGAGAACTAGAACAGTTTTCCTCCCTGAAAGTCAGTCCTCCGCGCCGGCAGGAGGCTGCCTGCTGCCAGGGCACTCAGATGACTCAGGGTCAACAGCCTGCAAGAGCCAAGCTCCGGGGGACTCCGAGTGCTCCTTGTCCCCTAGAGGCCCCCTGGATTCTTCGGGAAGGTCTCTGAGTATGACCCACCCTACCGACCCCCAAGGTGTCCCTTCTCTTTCCCCTTCCTGGCTGGACCCGTGCTCTAGTCAGAACTCCGGTGTCTGCTTGGGCACCCCGTGGCCTCTGTGGGATGAGGCTGGAGGCACGGAGCTTGGGCAGGAGTTGCCGGAGACCGCTCCTTCATCTGGCTGAGAGGCCCTGGGGTCGGCTCCGGGCAGTCACACCTCACAGGGCTGGCCGCGGGTACCTGGGGGCCCCAAGGTCACCAGCACGTTGGCTGGCGTGGTCATGGGCTCTTCTTCCTGGGTTCCTGGGATCCCCTGTCCAGGCGGTGGTGGCGTTGGTCTTTCTGTGGCATCTCCTGTAGGTGCGGAAAGAGAAGGGTGAGCAGCTGGGCACAGCCCCTTGGCCTCCGGCCTTCCCACGGAGGGCAGCACTCCCTCTGGAGATACTGGCAGCGGCTCTTCTCTTCTCCCTGCAGCTCCAGCTCCAGGGGTGGAGCCTACGGCGGTCACCCCTCCTGCCTCCTGAGACTTGGCCTGGCCCCAGAAGAGTCAGAGAACCTGAGAGTTCATCGGGTCTTAGAGCTCATCCAGTCTCACGCTCCCCTCACCGGCGAGGAGATTGGAGCTCGCAGAAATGGCCACGTGTCTAAGGCTACCTAGCTTCCTGGACACAGAAGAGCCAAAGCTGGGCCTTCTGGATCCCACTTCAGCATTCTTCTTCTTCTGTTTGCGAAGTGCTTAACAGTTTCCAGAGCTCTGCCATGATCATCAACATCTCATCTGCCTCGGGAGGTGGCAGGGCGGGTCTTAGTGTCCATTTCATAGCAGAGAAAGCAGAAGCCCAGCTTTCTGACTTCAGAACAGTGCCCAGTCCCCACCCCAGTGACCACCAAGCTGGGCTCTGCAGAGCCCTAATTGTTCCCAAGGAAAGACAGGCCGCAGGGGGAAGAGCTCTGAGAACCCGACCAGCCCTCCTTTCAGCCAGGACTTCCTCCTGGGTCTCCTGTATGTGCCACGTGGCCCATGGAACGCAGAAAAAATGCCGTGGTAGGGAAACTTGCAAAGCACCTTGTGTATCACTGGCCTAACCAGCTTAGGTGCATGGAGCTCTCAGAAGAGCATTCACAGGTCACATCGTCATCCATGACCTCATTTGACTGGAGCCCCATGTAACAGCTCATGCGTACTAACACCACTGCTAGATGAAGGCCTCTCCTTCCCCCCCTTCTCTGCTAGCAGGGGAAGCGACTCACCTGGGACCCAGGCAGGTACTTGGGTAACTCTGGCTATGACCTGCACAGAAACAAGAGAATGTTTCTCTTGGTTCCTCTGTTACCCCCATGACACACTTCCTTCTACCAGGCTCCCCATCCAACTGACTCCCTCACTCCCTCACTCACTCACTCACTCACTCACTTTTTCATTCATTCCCAGAGTTGGTAAGTTCTTAATACAGGCTGTTTTAGGCACATTGTGTCTCCATCTAATTAATCTCAGCTATCCTATGATAGCAGGTTGGAATGATTTGGTCTGGGAAGATGGCACGTGGTTCTCCAGAAAGGGAAGCAGCTCATTAGGAAAACAGTATTTGGGGACAGTCAGGTATGCAGGCTGGAGGGGCAGGGGACAGGTGAGGGGTTGGCAGGCTGGCGAGGGAAGAAGCAGATTCACTTTCCTGGAATGTTTTTCTGGGGAAGTGGTTTGAGGCCACCCACAGCTCTGCCTCTACTTCCCCGTGAGCCGCCACAGAGGAGGCCTTGAGGTTTAAGCAAACCAAGCTCAGAAACCGCTGAATTTGAAATCAATCTAGAACCAGTTCCAGACCTCATCTGCTTGAGTAACAACCAAAACATGGCACATTTCTACTTCCTTTCTGAAGGGGGCCGCCGACCATCCCAAACAAGAAAGCTTAGACGCTACTTGATAAACAGTAGCTGCTGTTATTACTTCCTTTAGAATAAAACCGGGTCCCTAGATCAACCCTCCCACTTCAGCATCTCTCCAAGTAAAATCCTACATATACTCCATCCTTCTCCCTTTCCTCCCTCACAGGACGCCGTGCTGCAGCCTCGGTGGCTACGGGTCCCCCTCTGTGCCATGCCTGCCCAGCTCTCCGGTGGGAGCACTCACTCACCTGGCCAGCACGAGAGTCACCTGGGAAGGAAAGGCGAGAGCGTGAGCTCGGGGAGGGCAGCCTGGCTGCCTTATCCCCTCCACCCAGGGCCAGGGCTGGTTCAGTCTGTGACCTTCTGACCTTGTCAGCAGGGGAGAGACCTTGGACTCTTCTTGCCTGCCTCTGCCCGCCACCACCCCTCCATGGAGACTGGTCACCACAGATCCGAGGCTCTGCCTACAAGGCGTGTCCCCGATCTGCTTTCCTCTAAGGTCTCTCTTGACAGGAGTCCCACCCCGCCTGAGTCAGTCCACCCCATGGGTCCCAGCTGTAACCTCCTCCTTGCACGGCCACCTTCTCCCTCCCCAGCCTCCCAGTCACACCAGTTCACTCCACCCTTTGCCTGGGCTGCAGGCCAGGGGAACAGTTCTAGGAAGGAGAGGAGCTGCTCCTGGCTTGGCCAGTGCCCAGGTCCCATGACAACTACGGCTGTCCTGACTTCCCTGTCTGTCTGTTCCAGGTTCCCGGAGCAGCTCTGGACGTCGCACTGTTCTCCTGGTCCTACCACGTCCTTGGCCCCCTGCGCTCTGTGTGTCCAGCAACTTGGGCATGTCTTCTGCGTGGTTCCCCAGGAGCACCTGCTGAGGTGCCTCAAGCCCGGTCTCCCCACAGCCCCATGCCTCCAGGGCCTAAGTGAGCTGAGCTGGAGCTAGTGCTCTGACTCTGAGGCCAGGACTGGGGATCAGGGGCACCCAGGATCCACCTGCCAGCTCTTCAGGCCTCGCAGCAGAGACCAGCCTCAGACCTGGGGGTGAAGAGGCCTGACCAGCTGGGGTGGGGGCTGCTGTTGACCTCTCCCACCTGCATCAGCAGCTCCCTGGGATGTGGGCCCCTCTGGACCCCATATGGGAGAGGAAGGGCATGAGGTGTTCTCATCATGCCAGGCTGGGAGAGCAGGTTCCCAGGACTGGGTGCTGCTGCTCCAAACTCCCTTTCCCAAGGCTCCGGAGAGGAGGCACTGTGTCCAGGATAAACTCTCAGTGGCTCTTTGAGGTGTTTTAACCCAAGGGGGAAGGGGAAACCCCCAGGAACCTCCCCCAGCCCAGATACCCTTGTCAGGGATGGTCTCGGCCTCCAGCCAGGTGCTGGTGACCTCCCGGAGTGGCTGCCTCTCCACAGGCCTGGGCAGGGTCCCGTCGTGCTTCGGCCCTCGCTCCCTTGAGGGCCTGGCCAGTTCCTCCTCCTCGGCTTTCCTCACGGTCAGGCGGATGTCTGAGCTCGAGTAGGTATAGCCGTGGCCGGCAGGGCAGATCTCCCTGAAGGACTCTGCATGTCAGCAGTCAGAGGGCACGCTGAGGGATGCTGTTCCTGCAGGAACCCAGGGCCCTCCCTGCCCTCCCTTTGGGCGACTAGGCTCCTGCGGCAGCAGGGATGGAGGGACCCCAGGCTGAGTTAAGGAGTTGAGGCGGAAGGAAGACTAGAGTCTTTTGGCTTGAGGTTGGGTCCAGGTGGGGTAAAAGGACCACTGGCTCAGAGCAAGCCCCGTGGGGTTCAGAGCTGAGCCGGGGACCAAGGGTTACCTGTGCCAGGCTGGGGGCATTTCTCGCACTTGCTGCCCCATGCTTTGCCTACTCGGCTGCAGCAGCATATCTGCTTGGTGATCCTCTGGCTCAGAGGCAGGGTGCAGGTGCCGGGCCCCAGGGACCTGTAGCACAGGCCCTGCTGCATGGAGACAGCCTTGTCCGCTGCAACAGACACAGCAGGTGCGGATGGGCAGCTGGCCAGGGGGCGGGGAAAGCGCAGCAGAGAGGGCAGAGGATGGAGGAGTGGCCAGTTGCGTGCACTCAGATTGGCCTGGCCTGTGTCACAGCCTGGGAGTGTGGGGCCCTGAAAATGCTCACAAGAACCTTAGGAGGAATAGCTGTAGTGGGGTGCTTCAGCACCTCCTCACATTGCTTGTTGGAGGGGACCCCTGACTCCCACCCACATGGAGAACCTGGCAGCAGGAAGTGGGGATGCGCCTACTTGTCTCCAGGTGCTGCGTTCCAAGTGATTCCCAAAGCCCAGCACGGGCCTGGGGCTGAGTGGGGAGCAGTGGGCTCTGAGGGCCAGTCTCCTCAGAGAGACGAGGCAAGGTGAGAACCAAAGGCCTGATGGGGAGCTTTCAGGACAGGGACTCTGTCACCTTTGTAACCCAGGCACCCTGCGCAGTGTCAGGAGCAGGCAGATGCTCAGGACATGCTGATTGGGCTGATGGATGGCTAGATCCATGAATCAAAATCCGTGGACCACAGTGAGTGTGAGCTAGGCTGGGTTTCGAAAACAACAGTGCCTCCCCCATTGTCCCCTTGCTTGTACTTCGATAGTGAATATTACGGATTCCTCAGCAGAAGATGAGAAGGTTGTGCCTCATGGGAAGAGCCTGAGATCTTTAGAGGGCCGGACAAGGGGACAAAGGGTGGGGTGAAGGGGGCCACACTCAACGCCAAGGAACCGATGACTCTGGGGAGCCCTGGTCAGGACTCAGCAGCCCAAGTTCAACTCCCTGCTCCTCCGTGAGCAACATGACCTCCTGGGCCTTGTCTCCTTCCCGTGTGAAATAAGGGAGGTGATGATAATCCCATGGGTGGTGAGTGCCTGTCCCTCGTGTTCTGGTGACAGCATCCTGTTTTCCTGGGGGACCCACCCCTCCCCCTAGTCTTGGCCCCCACTTCCTGGTTGAAGGAGTGCAGTCCGTGTCCCTGGTCATGGTGACTGAATCAGGGATGGGCACTGGATAAGTAGGCCCAGCGATGATAATCAACTTTGGGACTTTTCCTAGATTATTAAAGAGATGACTTTTATTTTCTCTTTTTCTTTCTTTCTTTCTTCCTTCCTTTCTTTCTTTTCTTTCTTTCTTTTCTTTTCTTTTTTTTTTTTGAGTTTGGAAGGCTGGGGGGATGTAGGCCTGAAGTGTCTGGTAGGTGCCTTTGAAGGAACAAGAAATCAACCCCGAGGAAAGAGCACAAGAGACCCCCTAATGACAGCGTGGGTGCCTGGATCCAGCCAAGCCTGAGGCACGCCTACCTCTAGGCCTCCTAGGTGTGTGGACCAGAGAATGATTTTTGCTTATGGTGGTTTAAGTTGGGCTTCTGTCGCTTGTAACCCAAAGACACCTGAAGAAATCACCTTCTTCACAGTGATGTACGAGGATGGGCCTTGTGAGAAGTCAGGCGCTATACGTAGGTCAGTTATCAGTCGGCCCATGAGCCTGGGTCTCCAGGTTCGATCTCTGCCCCTGCCCCCACCAAAAACCAGCAACCAAATGAACAAAAAACAATCCCTGCCTCCAGCAGCCACTTCCCTCTGGGATACTGTAGGGAAGGCTTGGTCCCTTGGAGCCCTGGGGTATGGTGACACAGCTGGGTGGAACAGGAGGCTTGCCCCAGCCCAGGGGGCCCACAAAGCTGTTCTCCTAGCCCTGGTCAGGTGACAGGAAGGAGGGCAAAGCTCAGAAACTTAGTGCCTCCCCCACTCTCCTTCCCCCTCCCAGGAAATGAATCAGCAGAGGAGGCTGGAGGGGGTGATGCTAAGGAGGGAGAGGAAGAAAAGGGCCATCCCTGTTCCCCTCCGCATGCAGGGCCTCTTTCTGGCACTAATAAACAGTCGCCTCAGACATCAAATACACCTGCCTAATAAAGGAAGCTGAAGTGGGGGTGGGGTCGGGAGAAGGAAGAGCCGGATGCCGCTCGAGGCCTTGGTCACAGTCTCTGTCACCATGACGTCTTCCTGAGAGTAGCCCGGCACGTTTCCCCACTCTGGGCCCCCTCACTCTCTGGGTGTCCTGTCTTAAGGCTTTCACTGTCTCCTCTCTCCAAGACACACTCGGGGTGGAGTCCTCCCTTCACACGGGTGCTCCCTCTGAGCGGCGCTGGTGTGACGTTCACCCTGTGGCTTCCTCAGACCCAGAGCCTTGCGGTTTGCAGACTGAGGGCTTGGCCAGCCCCAGGGAACTCTGCTGAGCAGGGTGGCCGACGGGATCTGGGCTGTCCCTTGGCAGAGGCCAGTCAGGACTGGTTTTATTCAGCTCTGGTCAGACCTCCCTGCCCCAGGAAAGTCCCGTCTGGGCCGTGGCGTCAGCTCTGCCATCGGAGGGGGCTGTCAGCCTGGGCCTCTCCCCACTGGAACCCAGAGAAGTCACAGGAAACAGCTGCCCCGGTGTGCACGCACACACAGACACGATGCTAATGCGACTTGTGGCACGTATGTGTTCACGAATACAGAGACACACTCAGAACCAGGAGCAGCTGCAGGGTTATGGGAAGGTCCCGGGGGTGGGCAGCAGCGGCATTCAGGCCACACACAGCCCCTTTCGGAAAGGCCTGCGCTAATAGACCAGGCGACTAAATGCAGGCGCTGGAAAGAGGCAGCCACCGTGCAGCCAGATGTGAGAGCAGAGGCAACACATATCCCCCCACAGTAAATGAGGTCACAGCGGGGACAGAAACGATTAGCGAGAAAACAGTAGAAAATCCCAAACTGCGAAGTCCCAAATGAAATGCCGAAAGCCTGCAGTGAAGTAACAGCTGTCTCCGTCCCAGCAGGATGGGACAGATCCATTTTTGTATATTGGGCCCAGTTCCAGGCTGATGGAGCCGGGGGGAAATTTCCACTCTGGGCCCGGCCCGTGGACGGTGAGGGTCCCATCTTGCCTCCCAGCATCCCCGACCCCTGTTCCCCGCCAGCACTCACACACACAGCGGCTCCTAGACGGATCTAGCATGAGGCCGGGCCTGCAGGTGCACAGGTAGCTGCCCCTGGTGTTCACGCACTCCGAGTCCCTGCACAGGCCCAGCGTCAGGCACTCGTTGATATCTGCGGATGGAAGAGAGGACCATGTGCCCGCCCCTCGGAGGCCTGACGAAGGGGCAGGGCTGGGGCTGAGACAGATCTTCAAACACTTCCTCCAAGTAAAAGGCCAACAGTAAACGAGCTGCCCTCTCCTAAGTCTGTCCCTCTCCCTTTGCCTCAATTTCCTCATCTGTGAAATGGGGATAAGAGTAACTACCACGTTGTCTTGAATTAGAGGATAAAACAAGATAAAAATGGCAAATCACTTGGTCCTGTAACTGGTAATAATAATCATAATATTAAGAGCTAATGGGTATTGAGTGCCTACTGCATGTGATACCTCATTTCATTTTCATAAATGAAATTTTTCAAATTATGAAATAAAAATTTTTCCTAATTTTATCAAGTAGGCCCACATGTCCTCATTTTATAGGGAAACTGAGGCTCTGGGAGTAACTTGCCCAAAGTCACTAAGCTAGTAAGTGACACGCTTGGATGCAAACAGGGGCAGCAGACAAGGAGATAGTTGGGGCTGGAGGGTGGAGAAAGGGCTTCCCAGTCCCTCCTGTTCTGCTTCCCTTGGGAGACCCTGAGCATCTCCGCAGGACCCAAGTGCACGCAGGCTGTACTCCAGCCGGCTCGAACTCCTCCTTCGGGTATGCTCTTCCCAGTGCCTGCCGTGCCCGCATCCCTGGAGCTGGCCAACTCTCCACTTTCTTCAAGTCTAGGCCAGGTATCCTTCAGTCTGGGAAGGGCCCCGCCATGCGATCCCATAGCACCCGGTGCTTCTTTCTGTTGAGAGCCCGTCTCTCATCGTGCGTAATTGTGTAGGCACCTGTCTTCACCCGGGGCCGCAGCCAGGTCTTAGCCTCCCTGTGTACTAGCACCGGCACAATGTATGCAGCTCAGGGCCACGCCCCAAAATTATCCCACGGGAGCAGGAGAGGAGGATGGAGAGGGAGGGAGATGGCACACAAGGGTGCAGAGGTGGGCGGGTCCCTTTGCAGACAGGAGACTACAGCCACAGACATGGGGAGGGGGAGGGCCTCGGGGGAGGGCCCCGCGGCATCCTGTGCGTTGGGGGCCCCGGGGACGGAGGGCAGAGCTCATGTGGGGTTCTGGGAATAACTTTAACCTCATGGGCTGGGAAGCCTGCCAGGAGGAGAGGCCACTGGAGACAGTGTCGATATGAACAGCCTTCCTGCACCCTCCAAGGGCAAAACTACAGACATTGCTCCACATCCACTGTCCACCAGGCCCTCAGCCCACTGCCCCTGGGGGAGGCGGACCCCAGGCTGCGCTGGGTCTCATGTCAGCCCTTCTGCCTGGTCTGAGCACCTTTTCTTATCCACAGGCCAGAAATCCCCTCTGGGGTCTGGCACCCCACAGGCCGGCAGCCCAGTCACCCTGGGGCCTCCTCAGACTTCGCTGCCCTGAAGAAGCCTCTAGGGGGAAGGTACCTAGAGGGCCAGTGGGTCAATCCTTTGTCTCTCATCCAGCTCCACCCAAAGTAGCCATAGAGACAGCAGGACGTCCAGTTCTCAGAGCTTTCCAAGGGGGAAGCTGCCTTCATTCCCCACGGACCTTGGTCAGCCCCAGAAGCCTCTCACGGGCCGAAGGGCTCTGCTCGCATCATACCTACCAGCAGGCCCATAGCCGCCAGGGGCTCCTCACTCAGAGCCTGAGCTGTGGGGCAGCAGTTGCTTCCCTCCCCAAAGCCTCCTGGACCCTCAGCCATCCTGGTCCCATCCTCCGCCCCCACACTGGAATTCTCTGTAGTGACAAAGCCACAGCTGAGCACCACCTCCCACCCTGCTGCCCCCAGGCGCCTCTGGGCCTTGTCCATCTGGCCCAGGCTCTCTAATGCAGAGCACCCTGGGCCGCGGCCGACCTCCCAGAGCCGGTCAGCCAGGCCAGCACGGCCAGGGTTTGTGCTGTATGACCCCCCACTCCTCCACCTGGGCCCTCCTCTCTCCCCTTTCCGGCTGTGGGATGAGGGGCTTGGTTGGAGAAAGTCCACAGAGGTCCCCACTAACTCAGGCTGACACATCTCCCACCCTGGGGTCCGAAGTTCTCCCATTCCAGGGAGATGAGCCCAGGCAGTGAGTGGCTGTGTGGAGAACGCGGTGGCACCCTCAGACAGGGCACCACACGTTCCTGGAGAGGCACCTGGCCCAGGTCCGGGAGGGGTGGGTGGAGATGGGGAGGAGGGGCTGGGATCAGCTGCAGGTCCTTCCTCCGCGCGCTCTATCCCTACGCCTGGCTTCCTTAGGCCTCTGGAACCCGCAGCCCCCAGAGCGCCACCAAGCCTGGGCTTAGAGGTGCCCAGTGGAGACCACGCAGGCAGGGTCCACGGGTGATGTAGGGTGGGTGGGGGTGTCCCCACATCATGAGGCCTCTGTCATTTCTCTCCCCCAAGCACAGCCTCGGCCCTGGTCATCCTTACCTTGGCAGTGAGTGAGGTTTAGTCTCTTGTACCCCTGGGGACACTCCAGCTGGCCATTTTCAATCACTGGGGAGGCTGAGGAACGAAGATACGGATGGGTCTCAATGAGGGCCCTTGGGCTCCTCTGTCACCCATGTCAGGAAGTGGGTGCCGTCTGGGTGTCCAGCCCACTCTGTAGCTGTGAGGCCCCATCTCCCAAGCCATCACCTTGGGCTGCTGTGCCTCCCTGGTGGCAGCCCCTTCCTGGGGTTCCACAGGCCACCCTCAGTCCGTCTCGCTCTTAAAAAGTGATATTAAGTGCTATGTATCTTGTATATAATTATAGTATTATATACAGTATATGTTATACTATATTGATGTAACACAATATCGCATATGATTGAACATGTTTTATTACTATTACTTTTTTTTTACCTTTTGTTTTGAAGTAATTATAGATTTGCAGGAAGTTGCAAAAATAAAAATATAGTACCTGAGTATCCATCACCCAGGTTCCCCTAATGGGTACGTCGTACATAACTGCAGTTGTTTTATGGGTTTTAAACATCAAGCTACAACAATTCACCCCCTGGCTTAGTTCCGTCTATTTTGATACTTGGGTTTAATGCTGCTGTGACTGACAAAGTATCCCAGCTGGAGGTGGAAGAAACTCATCAATGATTGCGCTTATAAAACCATGACATTTATTTTTCACTCACATTCACCAACCATGTGATGCTGCTGAAATCTGGCTAGTAAATTTCCATCTTCCCTTAGGGAGGTCAGTTAGCTGTTCTTACAAATTCTAAGTTAGAAAATTCCAGCCTTCAAGTGTGTAAATGGAGATGGATTACAGCATCCCACAATGAGGAAATTATTCTCAGTATTTTGGTACCAATACTTCTCCTGCCTTGATTTCACAACATTCCCCTTTACTTTACAGGGAAAATGAAAAACTATTTATGTTACGTGAAAACAGGGAAAAGTCTACATTACTTTGGAGGGACAGACCGGTATGTCAACCTTATTGAAAAGCTCTAGCAGATCGCATGCCACCGACGGTCACCTGCCATCACAGAAAAAGGAAGCAAATGAGGAACACCCATCTTTTTGCTTTTTAAAAAGGAATAGCTCATCGTTAAGTTTGAAAATTCCTCTGCCAAGAAAGACATAGCCAGCCATTCTCAAAGAGTTCAAGGGACTTTCACAGGCACTATTTCCACACAAAGTTCCATAAAGTTATCATCCTACTCTGAGGGCCTTGTTTTGTAGAGCTAACTGATGATGACTTCCTGCAGCCCTCTGCCAGCCCCGGGCCTCAGCTCCTTTGCGGGCAGCAGCTTGCCTGTGAAGCCCGCGATGAAGGGATTCACACCCAGTGTCCTCCTTCATGCCACCTGACCAGCACAGCGCCAGCAGGTGAACTTCCAGAGTTGGGTGTTTTCTTTTTAATTCAAGAATTCATTTATCATGGAGAATACGTATTCTCTGGTTCAGCTTATCTTTAGTGGCTTACAAAAAAGATAGTTCTTCATATGTCTTAATGCTGAAGTAGATTCTTGCAAATACCAGGAGACATGTGAGAAATAGCTATACTTTCACCCACCTGTACAGCAAGGTTTGAGCGTCTTGGTATTTTTATTTATTTTTTTAAAAATCAAGACAGCTTTGACTCTGTCATTAGCTGCTATCTCAGGCTGCAATATACACTTAAGGCAAAGTTTGTTAGTAATGATAGCAGATGTAAACCACAGTTCAGATGGCCTTTTTGGTCATTTGGATCCTGGGCTCCATTTTGGGTCACATCTGAGGGGTCATCATTATTTTTACCTCGGAATACAGCTGATTCATGGTAGGGGAGAAGTGTCAGCTTTGCATTTGTTAAATAATTACTTACGATTATGTTATTAGCATTATTTTGAACCCTGCTTCTTTGCAGGGATTTTTAAGAGTCGTTTCTCCACTTGGTGAGGCTTTGCTTTAGTTAAAACTAGACAACATAATTGAAATATCTCATAAACCAAGCATTGTCCTGTGCCATGTGTTGTGATGTGCTAAACATGAGAGGTACCACCTTTTCTTGGAACCCCACTCTTCCCTGACACTGTGTGTGCCAACCATGACAGGGGACAGTCTGATATATGGGTCAAGTGAAGACATAAATTAGTAAAGCTTAATTTTTTAAGATTAAAAAGGTGTAAATACAAGTTGTAATACTTGCTCCTGCTACAGAAGGTCTTGCCCAGGGTTTGCATGTTGTTCCACGCTGGGGGCTGGGCTCCAGCACTTGAGCTGCGTGGTTCCCAATGAGGGTGGACGGCAGGTATTACCGCCCCTGATGCCCCCCGGGCACGCCTCTCAAGGGCTCCCATGATGCACAGGCGTTCCCTTGTCATAGCACTTAACGTGACAGGCTGCTTGCCTGCCTATCTCCCCCGTTAAAGCATAAAATCCATGAGGACAAGAACCTTGTCTCTTTTGTTGTTGCTGTCTCTAGAGCCAAACATTGTACATGGAACAGTATAGACACTCAGTCAAAACTGAAAGAATAATGAGAACAAACACTAAAGCAGAACTCCTTATGGTCCAGGCCCTATTATGAAAGCCTTACATATATTAACTTATTTAATCCTCATAACAGCCCTTAGAGGTACTTACTAATGTTATCTCCATTTTACAGTTGAGCAAACTGAAGCACAGATGGGTTAGGAAACATGCCCAAAGTCACCCAGCAGGTGGTTGGGGCTGGGATTATGATCCCAAGCATCTGCCTCCAGGGAATAAATTCTGAACAACTCCTCTCCACTGCTTCCCAATAAATGAATGACTGGATCCATGGCAGGCTTTAGGAGGTGTCTAGGCTGAGAATTGTAGGGTCGGAGGTCACAGGGAGATACCTGCCAGAAGGAAGCGTATCACCTTTCCAGAAACTCTCCCTCTCTCGTGCCCCACACTCCCACTTCCTGTTTTTCTTACATGGGACCAGGAGGGTGAATGGGAAATAAACAGACAAGGAGCCCTGGCCGGGTGGCTCAGTTGGTTGAAGCGCCATCCCATACACCAAAAGGTTGCGGGTTTGATTCCCAGTCAGAGCACATACCTAGGTTATAGGTCCAATTCCCGATAGGGGCACATAGAGGGAGCAGCCAATGGATGTTCCTCTCTCACGTCGACCTTCTTTCTCTCTCTAAAGTCAATGGGTGTGCCCTCAAGTGAGGATAAAGAAGAGAAAAGAAAAACACAGAAGGATACCCAGGAGGAGGTCAGAAGAACTAAACAGAAACTGGGTACGTGCTCCACAATGTCCATAACCAAAGTGCTGTGCCAAATCGATAGAGAAAATGGTGAAGAACCTGTTCTACCCCTCATGGCAGCTCAGCCACCTCAAGGATCACCTAGTAGAGAGGGGAGGATTTGTGAGATCTGGAGAGAGAGAGATTGGCTGCCAACCCCTGATTTCCATGGGCACTTCAAAGAGACATTGGAAAGGTGCAGGTGACCTTGCAGTTGGGACTCTTAGACCCAAGGAAGCCAAAGCAATGCCTGAGGGTTCAGCTGGGATCAACCTGGACTCCAGGGAGTCTGAACATCACAGAATGCCCGTGACCCATGTAGGGCAGGCATGTGTAAGGAAACCTGGGCCGCGTGGGCCTGGCACTCAGGTCCTCTGGCCCCTGACCCGGGCTCTGTCCATTCGCTGCTGCACCTCAGCCTGGGCACATACCGGAAAGGAAGCAGAGGGCCCTTGGCTGCAGCCCACCCTGCCCTGCTAATTCTCCCCCTCGGCTGCTGAGACTCCCAGGAAGGCCTCACGATGAGCAAACTAATTGCTGGAGACAGTTTTGGCCCTGACTCCATGGCAGAGCTCAGGAAGGAGGAGGTGGAGACATAAGTCTAGCCACATGGCTGTTTATAAGCCAAGCCTGTCTCAGCCTGTGATGACAGATGGCTGCAGCAGGGAGATGTGGAGGGTCCCCTGCCACACACCCCTCTGTCCAGATAGCACACACGCACACTGACACACACGCCGGATGAGGCAGATGAGGCTGAGCTCGATGTGCAGGGGCAAGTGAGCAGCCTGGAGCTGAACCCCAACTGGCAAACCGCAGGCAGGTAGGCTGGAGAGAAACTTCTTCCCAGAGTAGGTCACCGAGCGTGGGTGCTGGGGCAGGCAGACCCGCATCCAATTCCTGGCTCCAGTCTAAAGAGCTGTGGGACCTGGGGCACCTCTCTTGACCTCTTTCAGTCTTATTTTTTTCATCTGTAGAAGTGGGGACAGAAACTGAATTCATGGGTTGTTGTGAGGATTAATGTCACTGAAACAATCAATGCAGACAAGCTAGCGCGATGTCTGCCACGACCTCTAGGTGCTCCCCAAGCCTGCCTGTCTGCCTGCCTTCCTTCCTTCCTTCCTTCCTTCCTTCCTTCCTTCCTTCCTTCCTTCCTTCCACACAATCTCAAGAATAGCAAACTGGTCTGCAGCCCATCATTGGCTGGAGATGTTTGGGCAAACTACTCAACCTCTCTGAGCCTCGTTTTTCCTAGCAATAAAACGGGGGTGACAGTTCCTTCCTGGGAGGGTTACTGTGAACACTGAACAAGCCCGTAGAACTCTTGAGCATGAAGCTTGTCACATGGTGGTAATTATCATAATGTTCATTATTCCAGATTTTCCTCCTTGGTAAAATCCTAATGGATCCTCCCTATATTGTAGAAATTCCAGCCAAAGATGTGCTCTGACTGCTTCCTCAGGGCAGCACTAGAGCCAAAGTGGGCGTCTTAGTCACCACAAACGGTGCAGTGGAGAGAGGTCCAGTCAGACCCGTGGCTCAAACAGGTGCCGTCTGGCCACTCTGTCCCCATCCCTTCCCAGAGTTCTCTAGACCAGAGATGCCACATGTCAGGAACAGCCCGCATGTGTAGGGAGGGTGCTAACATGAGCGCAGACATAATTCCCAGGATGCTTTGAGCCCCTTGGAAGCAGCTCTCAGCACACCCCAAGCCAAAGAAACACTGCTCTATTCAACCCAACAACAGAATTCTGAAAACCCCATTTTTTTAAGGGCAGGGGACTGGGTGTCTCACCCAGAGTCCCAGAGAAGAGGGCCTCCACCCCAGTGCAGCTGTTCCCCAGGAGCTCCAGTGCAGCAGCTGCCAACCGCACAAGTAGCACAGGAAGCAGATGAGAGAGCGGTTAGAGGAGAGGTCTGGGGTTGCGTAGACCTGGATTTCAGGCCCAATTTCCCTATCTGTAAAAGAAAGATAGTAACACCCAGAACTTGTAGAGATATTGTTAGGAAACAATGCAATGAGGAAGCACTTAGCACGGTGACTGGCACTTATGAAATGCTCTGAATACCAATGACAATGATGACAATGTGTTGTTGCTGCGACCTGCCTTATGTGTCTCTGTTCCAACAGGGTCTTCTGCCCAAATCACCTTCACCTACCCACTCTCCAGTGGGGTGGCATCACAGACCTGTGTCTGTCACACTCCTTGTGGGCCCTGACAAAACCAAGCCACACCCAAGCTTTCTTTACATCTTTACATTGAGCCTTTCAAATAAATTTTCAGATATATATCTATATCTATATCTAGCTATCTATCTATCTGTGTGTGTGTGTGTGTGTGTGTGTGTATAAAACCTCTATGCCCTCAAAAATCAATTTCCTTCCCCAGCTCCTCTACAAACCTTCTACTAAGGTAGGCACACTCCTTGGGGCAGGGAGCTCAGTACTTCTGGGCACACCCCATTATATTGCTGGGCAGTTGCAGTTTTTAAAAAATTGAGTCTTGACATGCCTGCTTCTTTATATCCTTAGTTATAGGAGTCCCATTCAGCTAGTCTTCAGATGGTTCTCTAAGGTGATTGTTCTATAATTAGTTGCAATTTTGATGTGGTCGTGGGAGGAGGTGAGCACAGCATTTACTTACTCCGCCATCTTGACCAGAATTCCCAGTTGCATTTTGAATAAGCTGTTCCTTGCACTCAGTTTTGAGTTGAGCTCTGCTTAGCAGAAACAGCCTCGCACCGGCTTTTGCCCCCCGTGAACGTGAACGGCAGGGAACAAGCCTACTCACTTCTCCCTGAGGCAATGCTGTCAGTGCGTCTCAGTTAACTCTTAGGCCTGGGCTGCAGGTTGCCGCCCTGCCTGTCTATTCAATCCCAATCTTCTTCTAAAAAAAGTTTCTTATCCTCACCCAAGGACATTTTTTTCATTGCTTTTAGAAAGAGAGGAAGGGATAAAGAGAAACATCGATGTGAGAGGGATGCATTGATCAGTTTCCTCCCATACGCGCCAGATTGGGGACTGAACCCAGGACCCAGGCATAAATCTTTTCCAGCTGGGAATCGAGCCCACAACCCCTCAGTTACGAGATGATGCTCCAACTGAGCCACACCGGCCAGGGCGCGACACTGGTCTTCTTGAGGGACATTGTCTTTCCTGTACATATAAGTCATGAAATACAACCCTAGGGTGCATCCTCCTTGTCTGTGAAATTATGGTTTAGGGTCCTGATTTTTGTTGTCTTTAGACATGCCCAGGTTTCCCCAGAATAATAACAATGGTCAGCTGAGAATCAGACACGCTGTGGGTTTAAACCCTAGCTTCACTTGTCCTGACTATGTGACCTTGGACCTCAGCCTTCTCTGCACTTAGTTTTCCTCATCTGTCAAAGGGGATAAAGAGCTTTAGCTTGTAGGTGACTTTAACAATTAAATGAAATCATGCAAATTGCAAGCCTAGCATAGTGTAGAAGTTCAGTAACTGGTGGCTATTATTGTTTTTGAGAAGGAAAGCTGCAAAATTCTTTGAAGGGGCAGAGCAAGAATCAGCTCTCCCTGGAGATACAGGGAGGGACTCAGGCTCTGGGGTGAACCTACCCCATGCCAGGCAGATGGAAAGACGACCTCGTGGCAAACAGCTGGAACCCACCAATGCAAACCTCGAGCTGTGTGCCAGCCCCGCCGGCCCCAGCAAAGGGGCCTTGGGGTTGACACAGCCAGTGCCAAGACAGACGGGGCGGTGGCCAACTTTCCAGTCAACCCAGATGTCTGTCTTTCTCAGATGAAAACTCAAAAAATGTGGCTTCGATCAAAGTGGCTTTTGAAAGCCGAGTTCTCTCCAGACTCTGGCCAGGGGACTTCGGAAGTTCTGAGTGGGGACCTCTGATAACTCCCAAGGGGTCAGGAAGGTCAGCCACATCTGTCACTCATTGAAGGGAGAAGGGGGGACCATAGGCTAGCCTAGATAGGTTTAGCCATCTCCCTGAGAAAGAGGGCACTAGGGAATTTTTCTAGAAGAAAAGGGAATTGCTCTGTGCCATTAACTGAGACTTCAAGACAGTCCTCTTCCATGTCAGAAATAGCAGCAGTCTGCAGGGACTTTCTTCAACAGTCCAGCACAGAGCCTCAGAAGCCAAAAGTGAATTAGAGGGAACAAAGAAGTCCCACGGCTCCCTGGCTGCTGTCTGTACTCCTCCTCTCATCCCCGACTCTGCTAGATCACTTCATTGGGAGTGACAAAGTTCTTCCCTAAGGGGGAAAGCCTTATTGTATCAGAGAAATAGAGGCTCAGAGAGGCAAAGCCACCAGGGCTGAGAATGTTCTAGAACCCAGAAGTCTTGCCCACCATTCCCAATCCCACTCTGGCAGCTGGCCTTCCTTTTTCTCACTCTCGCGCAGTAGCTTGCCTGTCCTGCCTCCTTAAAGAAACATCCCTCACCTAGCCCCAGGCTTGGGTGTGGAGCTAGGTGTGTGGCACCCTGTCAACACAAACAAAGCTCCCAGCTCTTGCCCCTTCTCTATACAATGCCCAGCTGCACTTTAATGCGTTCTAAATGTTTATGTTGCCCTGGACTTTGTTATTATGTTCTTTGGTGTGCTAGAATGCCTGACATTCCAGGGTCTGCACCCTGGTGCCCAGCTTGCTGAGTGTGCTGAACACAGTCGGAGTGGGGGTGGGGAGGGAGGTGGCAGGAGGTGATACCTGGGACAGGGAGGGAGTGAGGACTCAGCCTTGGCTGTGCTCCAGGAAATGTTGTTTATTCTCTTGGTCTCACCTCTATATGCAATTTCCTTAGCTTGTTAAGCAATTCCCCATCTCTTTGACACTTTATGCTGATCAATCTTCAGGTCTCTTCCTGAATGTTGCCTCCTCTAAGAAGCTCTCCCTGATTCACCAATTTGAGCTAGAATTTCCTACCCACAGTATATAGATGTTGCGCAGGTTGCACACTGCACAAAATGATCACATTAAGGGGATCCCTGGCATCCTAGATTTGTGTACTTATAAAGACTGTTTTGAACGAATGGAAGGGGGACCTTTCCCTCGTTTCATAGTGTTGCTACAGGACCTGTCAGTGTCCTGGTTCTGCTGTCTGCATCGGGCACTGTCTAGTCACAGCATGGGCACTGATTTACTGATGCCCATTGCCTGTCTGCGTTCCTCTCCTCTACTAGACTGTAAGCTTGGAGACAGGAGGAGAATTCTCCACTATCTGTCCAGGGCACGCACATTAAGGGCACTTTAAGCTTGCTTCATCAATATAAATAGTTGCTGACAGTGGAATGTGGGATACGGAAATCTCAGGGGTCAGCCAGACCAGAAGGAAGGAAAACAAGGAAAAAACAAAAGTGTCAAAACACCTCTGGCCTGCAGGGGGCGATGCTGAGCAGTCTGATGCACTCTTCCCCATGGGGCAGTGGGTCCATTCTCTTTTCCCTTTTTGGAGATATACTTTCTAATAATAATATTAACAACGACCGTTTATGGCCCTAACCCTAAGCACATGCATCATTTCATTTACTCTCCACAGCAGTTCTGCGAGGCTGGCACTATTACCATCTGCATTTTGTAGATCAGAGATGGAACAGAGGTCAGTGGGCAGAGCTGGGACTGGTACCCGGTATGGGCTGGATGTTCAAGTCTGGGATAGCTTAATACAACCCTTTGCTGTTTCACCAAAAATTATATTACACTGTGAAGCCGTCCACTTATTTTTAGTTAGGAAAATATGGTCACTGCTCCAAAGCCGGGTCTGAAGTTAAGAACAGCTCTGCCCCGCCCACCTTTGGGCTCCAGTCCAGGCCCCCCACAAGGCTGACTCACTGAGCCGACTGCTGACAGGCAAAAGAAATACATGGCAGGACCGGGCCCAGGAGTGAGGCCTGGAGAGGGGAAGGCAGGCTGAGCGGACAGAAGCCCTGCTCGTCGCAGCCTTCCAACTGCAAGATCAACACCTATGAGAGGAGCGTTTTGCTCACTCCTGAATTCTCAGTGCTTGGCACACACGAGGTACCCAGTGAGTATTTGCTGAGTGAGTGAATGAATAAATGAATAAATACATGTTAGGTTTTCCCACACTATCCAAAAGAGGGCAGGAAACTGGATTTTCCAAAGTCAATGCTGAAGACATTCTGGGACAGACACCCAGTCCTGATTCAAAGACGAGGCAGAAACAGGAGGTGAGAGAAGACCTGGGGGCCCCTCCAGGGAGAGGATGAAGGAAACAATAAATTACCAAATCAAGACTTCTGGGCCCCTACTACCCAGGCAGGGGGTCTATAGAAAAAGGTGCAGGGCTAGGCGAGGGCCCAACATGGAATGGGATCCCTAAAATCTGAGCAAGAACAACCGGCAAGAGGGAGGAACCTCTCCCAGACAATCAGATGGAGCAGGTAGGCCAGGCTGCACCTGGCAGAGGGTCTGAGCTGCCTGAGTCATCGGGAGCCTTGGCCACTGGCCAGAAGCACCGTCAAAAGCAGATCTGGAAAGGCTGCCGCGTTTCTCAGCACGTTCCACCTGCCTGGCCTCTGAGACCCTGGTGGGAGCGGGGAGGGAGGCAGCAGGGGCCAGGCCCTGGGACAGCTTCCCACACCAGCTTGGACCCCGGCACCCAGCACTCACCTGGTCTGGGTGGGCATGGGGCACACAAGGTCACCCCCCAAAAGGCCCCCACACTGCCACAGCAGTCCTCTTGGGCAGTCAGCTCCAACAGGGGGTTGGCACACTGGAAAAAAGGCCATGGACATGTGTCACCACTTCTTCCCTCCCCTGCTGTGCATAGAGATGTCCCAGGAAAGCCTGAGACAGGAGCTCTCTTCCCTCAGCCAGACCGTAAACTGTAGTGGTGGGGACACACCCCAAGCAAGATAAGGTCTTCTCTGTGCAGGTCTGCAAACTGCCTTCTACTTTGTCCCAGTCCACAGATAGGGGTCCCAAAGGATGGGCTTTTCTCTGTCAAACTCCAGGCCCACTCATGGTGCCAACCTTCCCCGTGGGCATGGCCCAGGCTCAGGGGCACCACAAGCTGAGAGGCCAGCGAAGGCCTGGGGACTCAGAGTCCCTGTCTCCTGGCTACTCCCCACCTCCTCCGGGTCTCTAACCTCAAGAGGGATTTCTAGAAACACCAAACTACAAGCCCAAGAAAAACCATCCTAGGTTTGGCTTAGCCCCTATTCTTAGGTACCTGGACTCAGAAAGCTCCTCTGATTTTCCCTCACTGATAGTTGTTGCTTCCAGCTTGGGGGGGGGGGGTCATCACACTCCCATGACTTCGGGGTTTTACCCGCATTTGCTAATCCCGCATCTCTGTGACCCCAATCTCAGCTGAATATCAAATTTTTTCTCACCAGATCTAATAGCCCCACTGTCCATGCACTCGGGGGTCCTAGACTCAGCTCCAGGAAAGCCCAAGATTTATGGGGGCCGGGGACACTGGTGCCCCTCCGGAGGGGCAGTCTCTTGGGCCCTCTTCTGTGTGCATTGACAGGTACCTAGGGGAGCCCAGGTAGGAGGCTCGGCCTCTCACACTCACTTAATTTTATGTCCTGAGTTTTTCCACCCAGGGAATGGGAGACTCTGCAAGCCCTCACATTCCCTAAGAAGGAGGAGGAGAGAGAGGAGGAGAGACCGAGACGGGGAAGTGCAGCAGGGCAATCACTGTTCCGGAAGCTTCAGGGTTGAGGCGGGAGCTGCTTTCTTACCTGGCCATTCACAGCGCTCAGGTAACACCGGCCCAGTAGTCCCCGAGGCCTGGGTGCTGCCGGGGGCAGTGGTCGGGGGGCCTCTCCAGACCGAGTGGGGATGCTGTTGCTGTCCCGGTGGCCGTGGCCAGGGCTGGCAGGAAGCCGGGGCGAGGGTCTGGTCTCCACGCTGTTCTCCTCCGGGGCCTCCTCCGCCCCGCCCCGCACCCGAGCCACTTGGTGGACCTGCACGGAGGCCTCGGGCGGGTGGTGAATGTGCACCTTCACCAAGGAGGGGTTCACAGAGGCTGGGCACAGGGGCTCGGGTCAGAGTCGCGGAAATGGCCCCACCCTCTGAAGAGTGCCCACCAGCCATGGGCCAGGCAGGCCACTGGCTGTGGGTCGCCCTCAAATTCTCCTTCATTGCTGCACTCTGTACTCAAACCCCCACCCGATTCCCCAGTGAGAACAGGATGCAGCACAATCCCTTTTACTCCTGGCCTTTCCGTGAAGGACTTTCATTATCAGCTTCGAAACTACCTTCCCGATTCCCTTCCCTGTGATCCTGTATGATCCCGAGCTCCAGCGCATTTGAGCCTGCATGGTCTCGCCCCCAGGCCTTGCACAGACCAGTCTCTGCACAGAGGAGCTGCTCCCACTCCTCTCTGCTTAACTAAAGGCTACGCATTGTTTAAGGTCTCTCCGAAGCCCTATCCTCCAGGCAGCCTTCCCTGAACACCCTGGGCTCAGGGGACTCTATCTACTGCCTGACCTCCTATATATATATATATATATATATATATATATATAGATAGATAGATATATAGATAGATATCTATACAACTTTTTATTTGGCACCTAATAATCAAGGCAGGGGAAATGAAGTGTTTTATGATGCCATTCTCTTTCTGGTCCATCCTCCCTCTATTTTCCAACTTTGTGGGTTCTTTGAAGGCAGGACCCTATCCTTCTACCTTTTCGTCTCAGGTATAGCACCAAGTAGGGGGTAAGGGCAAATATATTGCTGAATTCTGATGGAAGGGCAAAGAGAAGTTTAGGGACTAAAACTGAGCCCTGAGGAGGAGGAGGAGGAGGAGGGAGGTTTGACCGTGAAGAAAGGCCTGGAGCTAGCTTGCTGTCCCCTCGACCACAACGCTGGCGCCCAGGTAACCCAGCGGCTCCCCAGCCCCTCACCCCCAGCCCTGTACTCACCCAGCTGGTTGGAGAGCGGCAGGGTGAAGGTGGACTGCCTCAAGGGGCCCTCAGGCAGGGCCCTGTGGTGGGAGCCCCTCTCTGCAAGCTCCCTGTCCGGCTTTGGGGTGGGCAAGTGACAGAACTTCCCGGTGGAGTTGGTGGGGCACCAGCACTCATCCCTGCCGATGCAGCGGCCTCCATTCAGGCAGGGGATCTGGCAGAAATCTATAACATTGACCTCAGGGTGACTGGTAGTGGAAGAACTGAGCAGCACCCACCAGGGCACCAGTGAGTAACAATAGAGAAGAAGGGGGAGCAGGACTCCAAATCTGCATGGCTTAGGAAGCCCAGTGTCGCCTGAAATGCAGGGCTTTTCCAAGAGCCCCAAGAGTGAAGAAGGTAGATAACAATCAGCCCTTGCCTTTTAAAAAGCCCTTTCACGCCTTTCCTCCACCCCACAATAGCCTAGGAGAAGGAGCCAGCCTGGGGACTGTCATCTGAGGGCAGGAGGGACTCACAGATGCGGAAGCCAGACTTGGGGTCATGCCCGTGACCACCCTGGCTGTACAAGGTGGTGGTGTCGCCACGCTCGCAGCTGTTGGCACAGTGCCCATGGGCACACGTCTGCTTGCAGATGGTAGGAGTGAAGACAATCTTGATCTTCTTGATTTTCTCCGTGAGGTTCAGCCCTGCAGAGAGAGGGCTTGGGTCCAGGGGGCAGGGCTGAGAGGCACAGCTGTGACCTCCAGAGGCTGGTTAGAAAGGCCCATGGGACCAGGGGGAATCCATCCCAAGGGCATTTGCTAAGTATCCACTGGATACAAGGTCTCACTGTTGGGGCAGAGTAACACCTTTGAGGAGCTCACAGGCCAGCATTTATTCAGGGACATGAATGTACAGTCAGCTAAGCTCAAGTCTGGGCACATTAACTCTGAACATTCTTGAGTATTAGTTTAGGTTGAACCATTAGAAGTTGCCAGTTTTGAAAGTTAGAATGGTTGAATGTTGATGACATGCCCATATCCAATCCAATATTTCCATTTTACAGGTAAGGAAACAGGCTCAGAGAAGGTTAGGTTGCAAGGGGGGCACCCTGGCTTTGAATGGAAGGGCAGAGAACAGAATGTAGCTCAGACCTACTGGAGTGGAGAGTTTTCCAAGTTGAGGAAGATAAAGCCTGAAAAAATGATTAGAGACAGGTTGGGGTGGGGGACTGGTTTCCAGACCAAGGATCAGTACTTTATATGGTTGGTAGTGGGGAGTCACTGAAAAATTCCAGTATTAGATCAAATAGGAAATGTGGCGGGAAGGGGTGGGGGGACGAGTGCCCCCCCCAGCTGAGTGTGCAGGTGGAGGGGGGCGGGGTGACCAGCGGGGAAGTCGCTGCAGCTGTGTGAGCTGAGGTGGCTTCACTTAAAGGCGGTAGCACCGGAAATTCGGAAATTCGAAGGAGAGGTGCGCATTTGGTGGCGGGGGCAGGGGGGCAGAGAGGGAACCTGGAAGGCAGGGGGGTTGAGGAGGGACAGGGTGGAAAGTCTGCGTGGACCACCCATTCGAGGAGCCTCACTGTGTGGGGAGGAGAGAGGAAGCCAGAGGAAAATGGAGAAATAACTGTGCGGGTGAGAGAGAGCTGTGAAGAAGTCTATGTGCCGCCAAGAAAGGGCTGAGAGAGGGACAGGTTGAAGGGGGAGGACAGAGGGGATGAGGGGAGGGCAGGTGATGGCCTGGCTTTCCAGGGGAATCAAGAAAGGAGGTGTGTGTGCCTTAGACAAGAAGAGGGGCACTGCCTTTTCAAGATGACAAGAAAGGAGGTCATCGATCATAAAAAGGAACGAAGTACTGGCACATGCTACCGCATGGATAAACCTCAAAAACATACCAACTGAAAGAGGCAGACACAAAAGGCCACACAGCGTATGATACCATTTATACGAAATGTCCAGGATATGCAAATCCATAGAGACAGAGAGTAGATCTGTGGGCCCAGGGGCTGGGTGGGGGAGGGGTACGCAGCGACTGCTTAATGGCTGTGAGATTTGTTTGTTTGGGTTTGTTGTTGTTGGTTTTTTTTGTTTTTGTTTTTTTTTTTTTTTAGTAATGACAATGTTCTGGAATTAGATAATAGTGGCAGTTGTGCCAATTTGTGAATATTCCAAAAACCACTTACATGCACACTTTAAGATGTAATGTTATATTATGTGAATTTTACCTCAATTAAAAAAAATTCATTTACTTATTTTGAGAGAGAGGGGAAGCGGAGGAAGGGAATGAGAGAAACATTGATGTGAAAGAGAAACATTGATCGGTTGCCTCTCAAATGCTCCCCGAACGGGGACCAAACGCGCAAACCTGTAACCTTTTGTTTTGCGGGACGACGCTCAACCCACCGGGGCACCCTGGCCAGGGCTTTACCTCAATTTTTAAAATAGAAAAAGAAAGGAAATGAGCCTGGGCATGGGCTGAGGTAAGGGGGCAGTGCGTGCCGCGGTGGGGCAGATGTGCAGGAAGGGAAGAGCTCTCTGGGAGGCAGCAGGCCAGGCCGTGTGCGGAAGGGCTGGGACCTGGGGACGTGGGCGCTATTGGAGTAGCCGCTCTGGAGAATGAGAGAGTGCTCCCCAGCACACGGGAGCATTGTGGAGGCGTGAGTCCACAGAGGCCCAGCCATAGGTGCTAAGGACGCAACCCGTCAGGTTGGGCCAGGGAGGTTCGGGTTTTCAGGAAGGATGAGTTGGAAGGACCAGGGCCAGGGAGGTGAGACTCATAGCTGGATGTGAAGGAAGCGAAGGCAGGATGGGTGGCAGATGGGGCAGAAACGGAACAAAGTCTAAGGGTCTCAAAGGGGCAAAGTCCGATCAGCTGGTTTGGGGCTCCAGGAGCCTGGCACAAAGCAAGCATTGGACAATTGTTTGTTGACTGGCTGAAATGGTGAGGGACAGGTGACAACTCAGCCCTTCAGTGAGGGTAGAGGAGAGAAGCAAGGCAGGGAGGAAAAAAATCAGAGATTTAGATGCCCTGTTCTTCTAGGTCCCCAAGACAGGGCATCCTTACCCCAGGGGGATGACAGGCGGTCTGGATATGTTGCCTGCTGGGCACCATCCCTCTGCTCAAGGCCTGGCCCCATGGGCAGGGCATTGGAAGTCAGCTGGCCATTGGCTGGGGTGGCCGGGTAAAGCCGGACGGTCCGGGACAGACCCACGCGCTGCTGGGAGGGGTGGGTCTGGCTGAGCCCACTCAGGGTCCTGTGGAGACAACCGTGGCACAGGGGTTTAATGCATTGAAGGGCAGTGTCGCTGTTCAGGATGCCCACCCCTGCCTGCACCAAAAGAGTGCTCTCCATTTGGCTGCCTTCTTGTCAGGTCCAAAAAATGAAGGTGCCCTGAACCAGGGGGCTGAGCTAAGGCCAGCCCGCTGGCTCAGCAGGAGTGCTAGTTCTGTGGCATCGCCAGGCTTTGGCTGCATCTTCTGGGCAAGTCACTGTGCCCCTCTGGGCCTCAGGACCCTTGACTGCAAAGTGAAGGTGTTAGACTGGTCCCACGTGGCTCCAACCTTCTGAGTCTTTGGGACTCTTATGGACCAGCCCCTGCCCCCAAACCAAGGCCTGTGCCCACCTTCTGCCACTTCTTAATACAACCCTTCAAACACACTACCTGTGGCATAGGTGCCCAACATGTACTCATTCATAGGTTGATTTTGGGGCAGAGCCTAGAATATCCCTTTCATTTAATTTATTGTAAAAATAATAAAACAATAATATTCAAGGAGAAAAAAATAAATTCATCATCCCCCGATCCAACAGAGCAAATAATTTCGCATATTTCCTTTCAACCTTTGACCAAGTATATGTTCTTAAACTATTGTCATCACAATTCAAATTCTGATTTTTTTAAAACAAAGATTTTATTTATTTATTTTTAAAGAGGGGAAGGTGGGGAGAAAGAGAGGGAGAAAAACATCAATGTGTGGTTGCCTCTTGAGCACCCCCAACCGGGGACCTGGCCTGTAACCCAGGCGTGTGTCCTGACTGGGAATTGAACCGGTGACCCCTTGATTCGCAGTCAGGTTCTCAATCCACTGAGCCACACCAGCAGGGCAAAATTCTGATTTCTCACTTAACATCAGATCATACTTTATACAATTCCATAATTTTCTCATTTATCATCTTAATTCCTATATAATAGTCTATGTGAAGATGAATCACAATTTAGACATTCTCCTGCTGCATATTTAGATTGTTTTAAATTTTTAACTGTGAATATTTTCACTCATATGGCTTTTTCCTTCTGTTAAAATATTCTTTTAGTATAGAGGGAGTCATTATACTCTTTCATTGTACTCAGTATCTTTGAAAAATTCTAATAGTAAACATTTTGAAAGGATTATTATTTTAATATTAATGCCCTGGCCTAGAATGACCTGGCCTTTGAATGTATCAAAGGTTACAAGCATTTATAGCTCTACGTACATGGTGATATATTGCTTTCCAAAAAGAATTACATCAAAATGTTTAAATGTGCCACCCAACAATCTTAGCCTAAAAGCATCTACTCAGGCCTTGGGGGTTCTCCTTCCCCTAGTAGGTCCCACCCCTAACCTCTCCACTGGATTCCTTGTCCAAGTGGGATAGGGTCCTGGGATCCCCCTCCCTCCACCATCTCTACTCCAGTTCTGTTGGCCTTGGGTGCCCCAGCCATGAGCAAGCTCCCTCTTGTTCTTTTGTGGAAGAAGCCAAGCTGGGGGAGATGTCAGAGCCCAGCACCCTGCAGCTCTTCCCCAGTGTTGATGGCCTAGGACTTGGCTCCTGTGAGCCTCAGTGCTGCTCTTCCTTCTAGTGCCACCAGCAGCAAATCCTCATTTTGATGGGACCCAACCACGCCTCGCCCTGCGCTCCAAGTTTGGGGGCTGGAGTGGCAGAGAGGTCCCGTTAGCCACCCCAGAAGCCCCGGGAGCCGTCCTGAACCAGACCTGGGAGCCCAGGCCTCCGGCACCTGCTCCTCATTCCCAGGAGAAGGTCAGCACAACCTGCTGCAGCAGAAAACGCAACCCTCTTAACAGCTTCCCAGAAAGAGCCAGAAAGAAACGTAGGCAAGCTGGTGGGTCAGTCGGAGTCTCCTTGCTGCTGTCCCAGACTGGTGCCACGGCTCAGCTTAGTGTCAGCCCCCTAGAGAGGCGAAGGGAGCAACTCAGGTTCTGCCCAGACCGCTCAACACTTTTTAAAACTCGACCCTGGCAAAGAGTCCTCCAACCTGGTCAAGGTGGAAACTCAAAAGGTTCTTTCCTGGTGGTTTGCTGTCATTGTGGTTGGTTATTGTGGCTGTCACTCGTCTCTCTCATTGGAACTGAATGTGAATGGCCCTAAGATTTCTGAGTTCAAACCCCTTAAGCGCTGGCTGAAGACTCCCAGGGAGCCACCAGCTTGCTTGGACAGCCCAGTCCCATAATGATGCCACCCAGTTAAATGTGATGTGCCTACACCCTGCCCAACACTCAGGTTTTCAAACAGCGATGGGAAAACAGATGGGCGAGGGGCTCCGTGCCCTCCACCCACCCACCTTCACCCTTGCCTGGCGGCCCCGCTCTATCTCATGTATAAATGGGCTTCCCTGTACTGTTTTGTTTGATAAGTATTCTGCTGCCAAAAGAGCGTTTAAAAACATCACTCCAAGGTGGACAAAACAGTTGCAGCCACCATTAACCGAGCACTGAGCCAGGTGCTTTAAATGCATCATCTTATTCACAATTACTTTACTGAATGAAAAAAAGTGAGTTGCAGAATAATATGGGTAGTATGCTTCCAATTTTATGTTTTAAGAAAAACTCTCTCTCCCCCCTATAAATATTTGTGCAGGCTTGGGGGAGGTCTGGAGGGACCTGCAAACGGTGGCTGCCCCTGGGGAATGAGAGTGCCTCTGTGTGTGTAATTACTGTTTTAAACTTTATATGTTTCTATATTTGTGGAATTTTCTTAGTAAACATTTTCTACATTAAACATGCAGAGATAAAAATAAATCTGTTTCTTCTAGCAACTCTGTTTTCTAGATAAGGAAACCAAAGCTCGGGAAAAGCATGGTAAATGGGTGTAAATAAATAACTAGGGTCCAAGGCGGACCGTGATGGCTAACAGAGGTATAGGGATTCAGATGTAAGGAAGACTCTGACATTTGAGCTACCCATTTAAGAGATGGGTAGGGTTTTTACAGCCTCAAATGAAGAGGAAGACATTCCAGATAAGAAAAATAACGTAAGAAAATGGGAATCATGGACCATATTTAAGGAAGAATAATGAGCACAGTTAGATAAAACCCAGAATCGAGGAGAGGGGAAGGAAGGGAGACAATGTCCATCCAGTGCCTATCTGAGAGCGGGCCTTGAGCCACAAGTTTTATGTAACCTATCCTTTATTTGTCCAAACAACTGTATGATCAAAAACCTCTGCTTGGCCAAAACCACCTTAAACAAAGTAAAAAAATGACAAAATGAGAAAAGTATGTGCAACTCATGTCATAGACAAAAGACTAATCTTCATAACATATAAAGAGCTCTTAGAAAGAAAAACGACAGACCAATAGTCCTAAAGGAAAAGTCAGCAAAGGAATACGAACAGTTCACAGAAAAGATATATGTAAATTTTTTAGACACATCAAAATATGCTCAATCTTTCTTATTCTAAGAAATGTGCAAATGAAAACTACCTCTGAGATAGCATTGTGTAATCCATCAGATTAACAAAATTCCAAAAGATTAATAACAGACTTATTTGATGAGATTGTGCCAAAACAGGCCCTCTCCGATGCTGTTGGTAGGAATGTAAATGGATACAGGCTTCATGGACAGCAATTTGGCCATGTCTATCCACACCACAATGCATCCACGCTCTGCCCCTCCAGTTCTACCTCCATGTGCTGCAGATACACCTGCTGTGGTGGGTGCTCCTGCCACCCAGCCCAGGTCTCCTCTGCCCCTGGTGCACCCTCCACTGGCTTCTCCTGAGTTCTGCCCTTGGCTGATGGCAGCCACTTGCCAGGCTCCTCTCACTCCCATGACCACTAAGCCAATGACTGCTTGAGCCAGAAGTTCTAAAGCCCCACCCCCTAACCTCAAGGTAGGACAGCTCTGCAAGCTCCTCCCTCAATCAGGCCTGGACTTCCCCAGGACCAATTCTTGCTTGGCTCTTCCCACCTTCGCATTCGGCTTCCTTCCCTCCCTTAGCTCTCCCCCAATAAATCACCCTAATCTATTTCCCAGCTGCACCTCTAGGGGAATCGGACCTAAGACACTTGTAAATGTCAAAAATGATGGATGAACAAGATTATTTGTAACAGCACTATTTTGTAAAGAATAGAAGCAACTTAAGTGTCTTTCAGGAGGGGATTGGTCAAACAAACTCAGATACATCCACAGGATGGAGTCATACGCCCTCAAAACAGAAAGAAGCCGCCCCTTTACATCCATACAGAATGTTCTCCAAGATACACTGAAAAGTGAAAAAACAGCCCAAATCTGGCCCACTGACTGTTTTCGTACAGACTATGAAATAACAATCATCTTTTACATTTTTAAATGGCTGAAAAAAATCAAAAGGAGAATAATATTTCATGACATGAGAAAGTAATATAAAAATCAAATTTAAGTTTCCATAAATAAAGCTAATTGGAACACAGCCACACTCATTGTCTAAGACTGCTTTTCCTCTCGATGGCAGGGCTGAGTAGCCGCAGAAACCATATGTTGTTCAAAGCCTGAAATATTTACTATCTGGCCTTTTATGGAAAAAAGTTTGCTGACTCCTAGTATGGGGCATGTAAACGTTTGTGTAAAAATAGAGCAAATAAGGACACCTGTTGCATTTATTTGCATATTCATAAAGCAACCTTGGAAGGATGCCCTGGGAATTAATAACAGCAGGAAGTGGGTGGAGGGGAAATAAGCTAGTGCTACAATGTCATGAATGCTTTCTCTGTGCCAGCCGCGGTGCGGGTAATGCATGTCGCATGCATTATCTCAGGTGGGTCTCTCCATAACCCTGAGAGTAACTCGTTATTCCCATTTTATAGTCAAGAAAACAGAGTAGGGAGGTTCTACGCCTCGGCGAAGGTTGCAGAACTCCCAGGTAGAGAAGAGAGGTTACCAAACGAGGTAATTTCATCCTAAAGCCACCCCAGCATTTGTCAATTCTTTATCACTGTTTTACAGGTGAAGACATTGAGGCTTTGAGGGGTTAAGAAGAATAAGTCTGGTCCAT